ATTGTAACTTTGCGTTTGCTGCTGAAGATGGGAATGGAGCGCTTGTGTCAACGTCCTAAGTATTGAGATGTCGATTCTTAATTCAACATGAAGCATGTCGTTTTTAGAACATCGCTTTCAGCACAAACTGTCTAGGGAAAGAAAAAAACTTTGACCCTCGCTAGCTCTCCTGCCTCGTGCACTTTCATGCTCAACGTGCCAGATATCTTGTGCCCATCTTCGTGCTGGTCGACCCCTGCACCTCTTACCCGCTACCATGCCTTTTGCTACCGTTCTTTCCAGTCACCATGCAATGCACAACTGGGTAATACTTAGTGTAGCTTTACGAGAGCCCTATTATAACTTATTCGGAGATTGAACGGGATATCTACAGACTGCCGTGTTGGTTTTCCAACCAGGATAGAACTCCTTGAGTCAGTGTAGGCAAAATTTCAGACAGCTGCCTAAGGTAGAAAAACAAGAAAAATGTGGATTTGTTGTTTATGCAAATGGCGCCAAGTATAAGATCTGTTTCACAAGATTTATTCCGGAAATTATCAGTGAGTGTGCATTTCAGATAGGACCACAAACGGTTCTTTCGTAATATCCTAGAAGAAGAAAAAGAAGATCAGGGATCACTTCAAAAGATGCCCAGACGGAGACACAACAGAGAACCCTGGCTCTTGCTATGCTTGATGAGAAGTATCCAAACACCACTTGGACTCAGGTTTTCACCGACGGCTCTGCTACAGAAGCAGAGAGAGGAGTTGTGGAATATACATTAAACCCCCTAGCAGTAGAGCAGAAACTCTCTCTACCAGCAGGTGACATTTGCACTAACTTCAGAGCTGAGGCAACTGCTCTCTTTTCTGCAGTCCAACATCTCATCAATCAAGAACACAGAGGGCACAAAATTGTTATACTTAGTGACTCATTGTCTGTTCTCCAAGCACTATCAAGCAAAAAACAAGACAAAACTAATTGCAGATCTAAGGACCAACATTGGCTTACTCTCCAAGGAAGCAGAACTGGTCTTGCAGTGGATACCAGCCCACTGTGGTATTCAAGGAAATGAGAGAGCAGATAAGTTGGCAAAAGCTGGGAGTAATCTTCCACAACCTCATCCACCACACAGCTACAAGGAAACCAAAACAGCGCTAAAGCAGTCTTTCAAGCGGGAGTGGAGAAGGCAGAATGGAGATTACAGACCAGAGAGTGACAGCATAAACAAACTCAACAGGAAAGAACAAACAACAATTCTTAGACTTCGGACTGGACACTATGGTCTTCGAGCACACTTGTACAGAATAGGTATAAAAGAATCTGCTGCCTGTGATTGTGGAGCAGAAAGACAGACCCCTGGGCACATACTGCAGTACTGCCCTTACCTCTCCCAGCAAAGACTGTGGATCTGGCCCAAGGGAGCCACAATGAAAGAGAAGCTATGGGGGACCGGTGGCGACCTTAAACGCACAATCCTATTTGTGACCCAGACGGGACTCAATGTTTAGCATGACTGATGTCGAACGCAGAAGAAGAAGATGTTTGGCCTGCCTACTGATTGTTCAGGACTTACAGCCATATGTTAAAACTGAATGTATGAAGCAAGCAAGAATTCTTTTTTTTTTTTAAACCTTCAATGACAAAGATATATTGCATAAGATGTTCTTCATTTTATAAAATGCTGTTTTTGCCTGTCCTATACTGTTTCTTATTTCAGTAAAGCGTATTCCATCTACTATTATCCATGTGCCCAGATACTTAAATTTATGTACTTGTCCCAAAATAAAATCATTGACTTTTATTACACATTTAGGAAAAATTATTTTCTTTAATTACACCATTACTTCTGTCTTCCCAGTATTTAAACTGAGGCCATTCTTCCATTTTCGTGTCTAAAATAGATCTAAAAAGAAAACATCCATAATGTCAAACGTACGCTGAAATTTTACCTCACAAAATGTAGTACAGAGTAGACTAGTAAACATTAAAAAAAATTTCCTGTTTTGCATTCGTCATTCAGTCTGTGGTAACTAATAACTAGAAATGAAAGTAATCTTAGTTTTATAACATGTAACTAAATTTGTAAATTGTCACTGACATCTTAGTTAATCCATGAAAGCGGCATTAGCTTTTTCGTTCCATGTTGTCAGCAATTAGGCAGCTTCTTGTCTCACTGAATGTATTTCCAGCTGTACCAAACAGACGTTCACTTGGTACGCTCGTAGGTGGTGCACAAAGATAACGCTTGAAAGTATGAACCAAGGTGGGAAATCTTGATATGTTTATTTTCTACCAGTCAAGAAACGGGTGTAAGGTAACCACTATGCGTATTCGGCTCGACCGCAACTATTCTGATGAATACCGAATAGTTATTAGGTCCACTATTCGGCTCCGAAGTGAATACGAAGCGAATATTCGGTACAGCCCTAGTAAAAAGCCAGTCAGTCATCCACATAACTAAATATTGTTACCCTTGTTTGACTTGTGTTGGGGATGGAAGATAGAAGAAAAAGAAGAGGAAGAAGAAGAAGAAGAAGAAAATATGTCCTTTAAATCTGTTAGTGCCAGGCATTTGGCACTAAAACTCGATCTATCCCAAGTAGACGTTAATTTAAACTCATAGTCGTTGGGCCTCACTGAGCTAAAAACAAAAATTCATTGAACAGCAAGAGTTAACGTAACAAATGTATGGGACATAGGGAGTTCAGAAAAGCATATTCTCAATGGGAGGGCTTACTGAACTAAGATTACCGAGGTACCAAAACGTTTAAAATGGGGATTGTCCGTGGCAAGAAACCCAAGACCCTGCGTAGTGAGATTATGATTACAATACAACTGACCATGATCCGCGGGCCACTTGTTAGGCCTTTGCAGACCGAATTTGACATAGAGCTGCGATTTGAAAAGCCCTGTTTTGTGTGACTACTGATAACATATGTTGTGTTGACTGGTACTGATTAAGTTAAATCTAGACTTTTATGAGTATCAGTCAATACATTTGAGTGCATTTCTCACACTATAGTATAAGAAATTCCTGAGAAATTTGACAAAATGGGGAAGCAGAAAAACGTGCACAAAACGATATTGACAAGCAGACACCACTCTAGTGTAAGAAAGTTAAATCTCTTCTTTTATCTGTAAGACTTTTTTTTTTTTTTTAAGTTGCTCACGATGACTAAACAACCCATGCACTTTATTCACGCACACGAGCCAAAGAGCGGGCAATCCCCTCGGTGCTAGAACGTTGCCCTGCCTTCACAGTTAGTCAGCAAGCACGGCGTTAACGGGCAGCGAAAGTGCATTTTATTCTAAGAACGGAATGCCAGCTCGTCTTGCTTTCTTTGCAAAACAGAAAAGAGCTTAAAGCGAATACACTGGCAATTAGCCTGACAATGATTTTTGATGTTTTAGTAGGAGCGAATGGTGTGTAGAAAACTCAATATTGCAAACGAAATCATGGCCTTTCCCTTCTGTATGTCCGTCTGTCTATAAACCGTGGAGAAGTGGTCGCTTGTTCGTTTCACGACTATCTTTCGGTTTGCAAGTATAATTTTTATGGAGACCCCTGGAGATCCTCACCGAAGCTACAGAGTTCTTGCTTTGTTCGACGGTTTAATTTTTTTTTTTTTGGAGTCTTATTATCGAAATATAGAACCGGATCGCTTAATATTTACCAGAGGGAAGATAACATCAACATGCCAGTAATCACTTTTAGAGCATTAGCTACACGCGCGCGCGCACACACGCAGAGGAGAGGGAGAGAGAGAGAGAGAGAGAGAGAGAGAGAGAGAGAGAGAGAGAGAGAGAGAGATATGGGGAATGGAGAGAGTATGTATACTGAAGATCTGTGTCAGCCAGTCTTCATTGTGGATGCAGCCCTCGCCTGTTTGATTCACTAGCTGATATCAAACTGTACATCGTGTTTTAGTTAAAAAAAAAAAGGCATCCTATGTAAAGTATGTAAAGTTATGACTCATCTGACCAGGTATATTTCTTATGTATTAATAAAACCTCCTCAGTGAAAAGTGGAACAAAGAGAGAATGTTATCACACATCTTGAAAAGTGAATGTGACATTCATACCTTAGTATGTGTTTAGAAGGGAGTCGCCGTGGCGTAGCGGCTAGACGCTCACGTGCAGATCGGAAGGTCGTGGGTTCGCTCCCTGGCGGAGCCGGACTTTTTTCAACAATGACCTTGGCTCCCAAGTCGACCCAGCCTTGAGTGGTTACCGGGTGCAGTCCCGGGAAGTTGAGGCGGCCGGCGTGATGCTGACCACATCAGCCGATTGGTCGATAAAAATATAGGTCTAGCCCTATATGCCCTATACGCCTAAAGGCGTGGAAAAGGGACCTTTACTTTTTTTTTAAACTTATGTTTTTAGAATGGAAAAGAGTTGAAGTATTTTATGATCCTCACCAGTGCAACAAAGTTCGTGCACTGCACTGAGATTCTCCAGACTCAAGCTTGAATTAGAAGTAAAACGGAGCACTTATGAGTTACACCCATGTTTATCCGTCAAATAAACAATAAACAAACAACTAGAGTGGAATAGAGGTATTTAATCAATCTGTAACTTCTATGAAGAACGTGGTATCTATACCTTTGTATCTGTATGTGATCAGAGTGGAACTGAGGTATTTCATGACTAAAACCTGTATAGAGATTGTAACTGTCATTCTTTTGTATGTGACTAGAGTGGAACATAGGTATTTCATCACTCATGTAACTTGTATGAAGAATGTGGTATCATGAATGTGGTAGCGTGACATTCATACCTGTGTATGTGATTATAGTTTACGAGGGGTGTGTAATCACACTGTAGTTTGTATAGTCAGTGTGACAGTGATACTTTAATTTGTGGGTAAGAGTGGAACAGAGATAAGCTGTTGAATTATGTTTTGGGAAAAACCCCATATTTTTACTTTGATCAGTACTAGTTGATTACTTTAGTTGAAACAAACGATTACTAACAAATGCATGCTTTGGATTATAAAGTTTACATTCTGTTGTTTCCAGACATTGCACTGGATTGGTCAGATCATGCCTTATGGTGGCCAGAAAAAAACAAATGGTTGCTGCGTTCTCGCAACACACTTGACCAGTACAACGTCCAGGCAGATGCTAAACTACAGTTCACACCCATGCACAAAAACCTGAAAGTTCAATTGCCAGATCTTCAGATCCTGGATATGAGAGTGGATTTTTCTACCAAATGTTTTTCAACCGTGGTTCAGACATGTAAAGAATTAGGTGAGTGAATATAACTTCCCTTCATCTCCTAGTTTGCTGTCTGATAAATGTTTGGTTTTCACATATGATGTATGAGGAGAAGCTGGCTGAGTAAATAGGGCACTGTGCTTTTCTCCTGCAGATACAAGTATGATCCTCAGTCAGGAATGAAGATTTCGCTTAGTTGGGGGCAAAAATACAAATCCTACCTAGCACAGTTCATGGCGATTGTACAAGCTATCATGTGGCTCTAAATCCCCAGGGTCATGACCCCCATTCTACATTGCTATTATTTATAAATTGTATGTTGTGATCTAGCCACAAGAATGATCTAGCCCAGTGGTATGCAATCTTTTTCATGTGGCGCCCCCTCAAGTATATGACAAGACCCAACATAACAAAATGTGTTTTTTAAAAAGGAGAACAAAAAAGAAAGAAAAATCCAAAATACTGTTAACTAGAACTTTTAAGAAAAAGCATGCACATAATTCAAAGTGTCAAAAAAACAAAAAAATAATAATCACCAACTGGTAATCATATCCAAAAATCAGTGTGATAGTTGACACTGTTTTGTCTTGAAGATGTCTGCTTCTTCTTCTTCTTCGCGTTCACCAGCTGTACACTCTGGCGGAAAGTTCTGGTTGCTCGTCCACTACTGAACTGCAGTCCTGCTCCAGAACCTGAGTGTTGCGTGTGCATCCGTTTTACAAATCTCATTCTCTTGAATACAGACTGTTGGTTCCTTGCCTCTTAGGCAGATGCACTCCGATTTCAAAGGAAGCTCCCCAATTAGTCGACTCTTACGACATGCTTATGGGGAGGCAGTGGGTCTGTTCTTGTTTCCCCCACAATGGGGCCTCGGAACCCACACAGGGGAAAAGATGTCTGCTAATTTTGGTCTGATGTTGGACAAGACAGAATAGAGATCATCCTCCACATCAAGCTGGCAATGCTGTTTTGTTTTCATGGCCGTTAAAGCTGAAAATCGGGATTATTACAAGAACAAAGCACTCAGCTTCAGAATTGCTTTACACCCCTCTTGGAACTTCCTCATGCTTCCCGAGGGAAAAGCCCCCCCCCCCCCCCCCCCCTAGGTTGGAAACCACTGATCTAGCATAAGGTGTTTGCAAGCAGGGACACCTGAAAATAGGGGCTCTCTATAACTGGATGGGGCCCTCAGGGGTTATTTGCCATTCAACACATTATTATTATTATCCTGAATGGCAAATAAATATAATCCTTTACTTCAAATAATGTAAAATTTATAAACAAATACTTTTAGTGAATATTTATAAAAATGGTCATTTTGAGGTTTAAGGTTTAAACAACGGATTAACATCATGGCACTTGGGAAGTAACCCATAAGTGCTCCGTTCTTCTTCTTATTTAAGTCTGAGTCCGAAGAAGCTCAGCACAGTGCACAGACTCTGTAGCACTGGTGAGGATCCTAAAATACTTTTGGTAGCTTTTTTAACTCCAAATTTTGTCCAGGCAGTGCCGTTAGTCTACTCTTTTTGATTTTCAACTGCCAAGAGATTTTTTACATGCGCAACAATGCAAAAAGGCGGCGTCCGATCTCACTCCCCAGAGACCAGTTGTGAATTACTAGAAGTCCAAGTCCATATGAAAAAATTCCGGCCCTCACCGAAGATTTAACCCGGAATCTCTAACACTCGAGGCGGACACCATGCCTTGTGACCACGCAACACCCTTGTATAAATGGTTATTAGGGGAGGGTGAGGGGTCTCTAAGTTTCCTTATCAAAATTATGGGGGGGGGGGGGGTGGGGTGGGGGGGGGGGGGGGTGAAGGACCTGAGTCTCAAGATTCTGGCACCTATACTGAAGTCAACTGTGATATACATCACAGGCATTGATCACAGCCTGATGCCATCTCTAAGGCTGTAAGCATACACACCCTGACTTGTAGTAATACTACTTGTATTCTTTCCTTTAGGTGAAACCACATGTTAGTAAAGTGATACTCCAGTAGTGGCACAACCAAACTGGCTGTTTCCTAGACTAAATAAATGCCTGATGTCGTGGCACAACCAAACTGGCTGTTTCCTAGACTAAATAAATGCCTGATGTCGTGGCACAACCAAACTGGCTGTTTCCTAGACTAAATAAATGCCTGATGTCTTGGCACAACCAAACTGGCTGTTTCCTAGACTAAATAAATGCCTGATGTCGTGGCACAACCAAACTGGCTGTTTCCTAGACTAAATAAATGCCTGATGTCGTGGCACAACCAAACTGGCTGTTTCCTAGACTAAATAAATGCCTGATGTCATGATGAGACTCTCGAAGAAGCAGTTGGATGCCATATATTAATTTGTGTGTGTCTATTTATCTATCCAGAACACACACCATTGATATGAATGAAGTAGCTTATATTTAAATGTGTCTATGTGTACATGTGTACACATAGTTCATGGCTTGCCACACTGATGGGGCGAGACAAGAGCATTGGTCTGATCTGTGACTTTGGTGATCATGTGAGATGCAAAACATGACAGCTTAAGCTAATCTGCAGGGCATTCAATGATGTTGATGATGACGATTTTGGGGATGGTGGTGGCGGTGATGATGATGACATTTACTAGTAATAATTTGCATAATCCTTCCTGTTTATGGTGTCATTCAGGTATACGACATCCTGAAGAGCTGTCATTTTTTAGAAAATGGGATAAAGACGACTTAAAACAAGTGGCCAAAGAAGTACACAAACGAAAAAAGAGAGGAGATCCGGATGCAAATGGTCCTCTCACTTCAAATGGGACCCTACACATTTCCGAGGCAAATCCTGACAGTGGAAGAATTAGTCCTTACCCGAGCAGCAGTCCTTCTGGGCCATCACCAAATGTAAGTCATTGATCATTCATCATCTCTAATTAGTCGATCATCTCCTAAAAACAAAAAAATAGATTTTGTGTGGAAACAAGAAAACAGGGAGGCCAGAAAAGCTATGAGAGAAAAAAATAACAATAAAGACATAAAATGCTGAGAGATCAACTGAAAGGAAGAAAAGAGGACAAAAAGAGTCTAATTTAAAAAAGAAATAAAGCTAAACTTCCCTGCTGGTCCAGATAAAAATAGGTATCTGGAAATGTTTTGGAAATTAAAAGCACCCTACATGATTTGGACACATCATCAAAAAATAAAATAAAAAAATATGCAGTTAGCAACATGAAACAAATACTTTATCAAGGTCTGGAAGAACGCCATATTGTTAGTTTTGAAAATATATTTAAGAGATAATGTATCATTTGATAAATTTGAAAATAATATACATGTAATTTTAAACTGTAAAGCAACATCAGTCCAAGTTTGACAATTAAGTAATGAGGCAGATTTTAGTTACAAGCTGTCGCGTGTGAATGTGCACCAGAACGCACCAGTACGGAGTGAGCAAATAAGACGTCAAAACAATACGTAACGTTGTGAAGGATTGTTGTCAAAGGCAGTTGATGTTTAAAGTTCGAAGGAGACGGACGTGTGGATCCTTGAGGACACTTTACCCCGGGATCCCACGGAAGCAAACGTTATATAAAGTTGGATCCTTGAGGACGCTTTACCCCGGGACTCCAAGATAGACCTCAGCAGGAAGCTGGTGAACGTTACATTTTCGGCAGTAAGCCGGTATACCTTCATTATTTAATTCAGACGGATGAACTGAACACAAAGATGATTGTCTGGATCTCAAAATCGGACTGCGACCTATCGTGAGGACATATCAGTCCATGGATGTACGAGCAAGCTTTGGTTGAATGAATCTTGATTAGTAACTGCACATTTTCTCCTTGTGTTGATCATCGTTATTGTCAATACACAAATGGAACTTTTAAAGAGAGTTCTCGTTCCGCTACGTTTGGCAGCTTCAGCATTCATCATGTTGTGTTACTCTTGGCCAGTGGCATGTTAAGTGTTGATGCCTTTTGTTACATTGCGACAACCCCTAGTCACTTTTACACTCGATACAATGAAGCTCCGCACGTCACACCCCCCCCCCCCCCCAACCCCCCTCCCCTCCCCCAAACAAAACATTGCCACCCACCAAGCAAAGAATGTAATCTAAATAAGCACCATTCATTTATGATCTGAAAAAAATTTTAACGCCTCCCAAAAGCAGACATCAGGTGACCCGCATTTCGTTTAACTAGTGAAAGTTGTGTCACTATGTATGTGGCATGGAGGGGGAACATTACTTATATTCCAAATTCAGAAAGCTGCTCTTAAGACAGTTTAACTCATGAGATAAGTTTAGGAGTATCAATGCATGTCTCGGCTTTAGTTGCTGTTCACAGTTCCAAACTGGTGTGGAAAAAACTAAAAATGAACCTGGGCCAACACATCCAATTGATGATCATGATAAACTCACTGCCAAAGTCAGAGAACGGATATGCCAAGACCAATTTCTGATTTTGTTGTTCTTTTTCTTCTCTTCCTCCTCCATTTCTTCTTTTTCCTCCTTCTCATGCCAATGCCATCCTTGAAGAAATTTATTTGAAATATGAAACCCACAAGGATAATCAGCTGTTATACTAAGGGTTTAGGGAATCCACTATTTTTGAGACCCAGTGGCAGTAGAATGTTGAATTAAGAATCAACATCGCAGCACTAGGGACACTCTCATAACCACGTCTTCTATATTCTCATAAGCACTATGTTCCTACCTTCAACAGCAAGTTAAGAGTTCCAATTCTGATGGCGCTAGATGTCTGATTGTATATCTGTCTTGCACTTCCCTTGGGTGTTGAGCGTTGGCTAGATCCCCTGTTAACTCCTCTCATGCAGTTCTCCTCAGACCGTAATGATCCATGTGTGTCTCTACACTGTTCACTTGCTCCCAAAGGGCCCTCACAACATCTAGCTTGTCATACATTAATTCACCACCAAGTGGTGCAGAACTGGCCAGTCTTCCTGCCTACTCATTTCCCAACACACCAGCATATCCTGGAGAAAATATCCCAAGGATGCTAACTACTTAGGACCTCTGAAGTGATGCTTGCTACTCTGCACGGAGCATACCTGTCTCCACCTTTCTCAGCATGCTCTGTGAGTCAATAACAATTATGACATAAATGTGCAGCTGATGCTTATGCCAACGGAAGGCAGCAGTGACTGCCTCCACCTCCATTCTCAAACTAGACAGTGCGATATCATATGCCAGGCTTTGTTGCACTAAGCAACATCCATTCACTTTTGCTATGAACCCCCATGCTCTTCATCTGCCTCTCAACACAGGGCAATGGCAGTAAGATTTTTTTAACTATTCATAGTACAATTTCAATCTTAATCACAACCCTGAAAGGTGTGAGCAAAGAAATATTTGAAAATATAATACAAATTAAATAATTGTCCTAAATACATAATTACACAATAAATAAAATAATATACTCTGAGAACTTGATGAACATTTTGTATCCCAGTTATAACCCTGAGGATTGAACAGAATATTTGCGTAAAAATTAATGAAACATTCACAGAGTTAATATACTTTTATATTATTTTTTATTAGAACACGCTGGGCAGATCAGGTAATGGATACAGTACCTTGAACAATACCCTTTTACCTGGCTCCTTGCACAGTCTTAGCTTTGAGAGCTGCCTGGAAACATCTCTGTCAAACTCACCTTATATCTCAGCCAAAGATGCCTTCCAATATTTGCTAAGGCCTAAAAACTTTGCTGAAAAGGCCAGAAGCAACTGCGCGTAAGTTGATTTTGAAAATGTTATATTACAGTAATTATGTGTTATTTACAAATAAAGTTTTGTTCAATTTTATTGGGTTTAGAACACATTGAACACAAAATGGGATGATTCAAGAGGGGTGAAGAAACAAGAGAAATGTCTTTGCAATGGTAACAACAGTTTTAAGATAAAGAAGATGGTGCTATTCTGAGTGGAAATGAGCAGAAAATCTCCAAACAGGCACTAAAATTGGAAAATAATGGAGTTCATGAAACGATGACACCACAGAAAAGAAACCCTAAAAAACATTGATGGGAGAGGCAAAGGTGCTGGACTGGATTCCATTGATGATATTGAACTGTTTGCATGGGATACAATGGAGGATTAGACTGTGAGCCCTCTGTGACATATAATGGCAAAACAGGACAATGATGATGACAGATTATTTTAAACGCTTTCAAAACAAAATATGTAATTAAGTAGCTTTATGGGTTAATTCTGCATTTCTGGACAAGATACCCTTGTAAATATATTTATTATTTCACAATGACCTTCAAATACTATAACAAAAACTAAAGGTCACGATCACCATTATTTTTTAACAAGCCCTTTGCAGACTGGCCAATATCACTCTTTAGAAATATACTGTTCCCTCTAAATTAAGACCTACCTCAAAAATAAGTGCTAACACAATTTTTTGAGGATATTTTTAAAATAAGCCCTACCCTCCCCCGCTCCCCCCCCCTTTCCAAAACAAAGAGCCGCAGTTAAGATCATCAGCTAGAATGAGAGACTTGCTTTTGCTGCTAAATGGCTAGTCAGAGTAAAGATGCCACTGGTGCACACTTGCAGGAAGTCATGACTTTAGTGAAGAATTCATGGGATAAAATCACTGACAGCTGTGTTATCAATGCAATATAAACAGACTGGATGAACAAGAACAATATAAGGAAAGCTTTATTGCTGGACTGGGGAGCTGCAGTGGTCTAGAGGCTAGATGCTTGCCTGCGGATCGGAAGGTCATAGGTTCGGTTCCTTACGAGGGCCGGATTTTTCAAAAATGACCTTGGCTCTCAGGTTGACCTAGCCTTGAGTGGGTACCAGGTACAATCCTGGGAAGTAAAAGGCTGACCACATCACCCACCAAGTGCTGTTTGGTCTATAAAATATAGGTCTAGCCCTATATACCCAATACACCTGAAAGGCGTGGAAAAGGGTCCTTTATTGAACATGAGAGACTGGGGCTATTGGTTCTGCAGAAAATGGGGTCACAAGAATTTCAGGCAGGAATTCAGACTTTGGAGAGTTATGATGATGTTTCAGAAAAAGATGACATGACTGTATCTGAATAAAATGTAGAATTCTACACATGAATAAATGTAGATTTTTGTACTTGAAAAAAAAAAAGGCATTTCCCTGAAAGTCCTATTGCATTTTGTTAAAGCATTAATTAATATAAAACCAGACATTTTGGGGGAAACACGGTCATGAATACTTGATCCTTTGCCAGTGAATGCTCTTGCAGTATGCATTCTCATGTCCAGGTTATCTTTATTCTCCCCTCTCAGCCATAATTTTGTTATGCTCTTCTTTCAGGAACCACGTCTTCCATTACTGTTTTTTCTAATCTTCTTCATCTTCTTATAGTCCATGCCTGCGGTGTTGGTAGTCATGTCTATCCACAGCCTTCTCTCTCTGGTGTATTTTCAATCATTTCTGACACAGATGATCTCACATGTCAAGTTATGTTTCTGATAAACTTATTTAAGTTTCAGACACATGATACTGTTTGAGAACCAGTTTTCATATCTTGTCACAATTCAATATTTGCTTTCTTGATTCAATGGTGTAAATACATCTCCATGTTGTGTAATCTTTTCTTTTTGTTCTCAACTTCCTGCAATTACTTCATCAAAGCGTATAGGGGCTCGGATAAAAATGGGGGGGGGGGGGGGAGGGGGTGTAAAGATCTCTGTGTGCTCTTACTACCATTGGTTTGAAAAAAATTGGTCTTCATTTATGGCTGTTCTTAATATCATGATTCTATTGTCTGCCTAGTCTTACTCTTGCCCTATGTCCATTATATGTCTCCAGCGTGGCTCTCTGTTGTAGCTGATACCAGGGCATTCTGTCAGATGGCCAAACCATCTCACATGTTGCTCTTTAATAAATTGTATGACTAATGTTATGTAACACTACATCTAAGATCTTTAGTTTATCATCATCATTGCTAAGTGCCTCACTGCTAACATGGTAGACATGCTTAGTCACAGCTCCCACTCTCTACTGGTATGCATCACGCCATGTGCTGATATCTTTCTATGCAATGTAGCTAGATTATCTCATTTTGTCTCTCATAGCTTGATTCTATATCTTTCCTATTACTTTAACTATTTCTTTAATATATTCCAGTATTGCGTTTCTTATTTGTTATGGTCAGAAAATGTCTGTTGCCGTTACAAGTTTATAATACCTCCCTTGAATCTTTGTCTTTTTCAAAAACTTTTGATAAGGTCGTCGTCATAATTTCTAGGGACGGGGGAAGGGGCTCCATTGGCAAATTATTGGAAAGGGTAGGGAGAGAGAGTGAGCTCAAGCAGAGTTTAATTATGCAATAATGATATTAATGATTATCTTTATTATAATTATTATGTGCTGGGTGGCAAACACAAATAATATGAAATGTATAAACATATGCTAATGAAGAAAACATCTTTATATGGTGGGGGGGGGGGGGGGGGAGGCCTCTGTTCTCTAACAATTGTTGGCAGGAACGGAGGCTCCAGGTGCCTAAGCTCCAAGGTTCTGACACTTATGCCTGGGAATCTCTCTGTTGGACTGCTTTCCAAGATACAACAATTCTAGCTGCTGGGGTAGTCAAAAGCTTTTGTGTGGAGGCCTAAAAGAAGAAAACAGACTCACCAAACTTTACGTTTGAAAATATGCAACTTAGTTTTTAAAAATTGCAGTTGTGTATCTTTGTTCTTAGGCTTTTTAAAGCAAATGTTTCTTTGTCAGAGCAAATCATATACTTTCTTGCTCTGTATCACTGATGATGAAAATTGCTTCCTATTCCAAAGTCTATTGTTCAGTGTGTATTTGTTCTTTTGCTTATAGATTGTTGGACTTCTCCACACCACTCATGGAACAGGGAGTCAAGGAAAATGATTTTATTATGCTCAAGTAGAAATGCTACTTCTATAATCTTAACTCTTTCTTCACCCAGCTCACTGTCGTAGTTGGTTAAACCTGACTTCGCGGTGGCCAGGTGACAAACTCCTTGTCGTCCGGGTTCACCCCCGGGGGTAGGCAGAAAAGCTACATTTTTCGCAGATTTACGGTACCTATAATGGAATCAAGGTCGAAGTCTTGTGATATCCATAGTACCGAGCCAAAGGGTTTACAACTCATGGTTTCTGGATACTTAAAAAAACACTCTTTCTTTCTTCTGTGTTTGCCTGCCTGTCTGCCTATCTGTCTATGTTGTTTGTTTTATGTCCAATATTATGTTCTCAGGTGGCTGGACTCTTCCACATCACTCATGGAGCAAGGAATCAAGGAAAATGATTTTATTATGCTCAAGTTCAAATTCTACAACTTCTATGACCTTAACCCTAAGGTAAGACTTGCTGAACAATTTAAAAGCAATAGTGTAGTATAGACAGTTTTTGCTGATTTATTCAAGATATTTAGAATATTTTCTGCCATGTAACTACTTTTTGCAAAGATGTGCTTATTATAGCTCTGTTACTGTCCTAATTTGATTTTGTTTTGCTTTCACAGAAATAATAGCCATGTTCATGATTTTGTTTCTAGACAACAAAGTGCTGATACTCACCACACAGTGTCTAGTACAATAGCACTGAAAACATGTTGCCTAAAATAGGCGCATGTATTGCAGAATGTTGATAACAAAAGCTGGCTAAGTTTATAACAAAACTAGATGCCAATTTGTTAAGAAAACATAATTTTGCTCATTTATTTTTGCCTATTTTTTTTTTTTTTTTTTTACAAATGGGGTCCCAAAGATAAATCAGAATAGACACCCACACATTTGAAAACAAATATAATAGAGTAATATTTATAATGAAGTCAAAATATAAAATTTGTTTCAGGAACAGTTATCTACCTAAAATATATTTTATCCTCATGGTTTGATCTTGTTTTCTCCAGTATGACTCAATAAGGATAAACCAGATTTACCAGCAGGCCAGGTGGGCTCTCATCTCTGAGGAGACTGACTGCACAGAAGAAGAAATGATGGTCTTTGCTGCTTTACAGGTAATGCTTGGGAAACATTTACTTCCTGTACTTTTACACATAAACCCAAGTATCTGGGCACATTGATAACATCAAATGGATGATGTATCACAGAGATAAAGAACAGAATATGAAAGGCCAAAACTGTCTTTTTTTTTAATGAAGAATATTTTGTGCAATAAATCCATGTAATTGGAGGTAAGGAAATGAATTCTCACAAGATACGAAGAGCCGGTTTTAACATACGGTTGTGAATCCTAGACAATTAATAAACAAGCCAAACAATATCTTCAGGCCTCGGAGATGTGGTTTTACAGAAGAATCCTTAGAATTTCTTGGATAGCCAAGAAGAATAACCCAGATGTTTTGAAAGAGGCAGATGCTTGAAGACAACTTTTCACAAACATCTGAAAGAGACAGTCATAATTTTTTGGTCATGTTATGAGAAGAGGGAAAAGGTAACATGTTGTAACCACTGGAAAGATTTGTGGAAAGAAAGACAAAGAAAGACAGTGCAAGAAGATTCTTGACAGCCTTTTGTCATGGCATGAAGGGGTGTCAACTCACAAACTAATACACGCAGTTGTGGATCACTTGATGATGATGATACTTTTATATTGATCTACTTTTATGTCTGACTTGTTTTCGTGATCATTTTTCTCCATTGACTACTTTGATGTAGAATGGATTGTGTTCTAAGACCTTAAAAGCTACACAAACCATTTGATAAAAGTGTACATAACAAACTGGGATTACAAACTCAGTCTTACAGGTCAGCTAGAGTCCTAGAAAGTTTAGGGAAGGCATGCCTAGCAGACATTTCTGTCAGCATATGGTTTACTAGGTCACTTGCCTAACAAAATATTGTCATGTCATCCTTAGCCACACAGGACTGCAGGTTACCCAAGGCTCATGTATCCATTATGGGTGCCCTGTTATAACATCTTTGGAGGTTGAATGGTTTTTTTTTTTAGTCATGTGATGAGAAAAGGAGTACTGGAAAATATGGTGATAACTGGAAAGATCACTGGCAGAAGAGCCAGAGGCAGACCAAGAGAGATGATGGTGAATGGCTTAAGGTTGTGTCATGGAGGAATATCATCAACAGAATTGATCCAGAACACCAAAGACTGAGATCTGTGACGATGGATGATTGCCTTCCTAAGCTGACAAGGCACTTGATGATGATGATGAAGTTGAGTGGGGTATCTGAGATCTCTCCTGTTTATCTGCATTTCATACCTATTTTTTGTGTGTTTAAATCTTGACCCCTATAAGATTTCTATCTTCTATAAAAATTTACTGTTTTGTTGAGAATTCAGAGTAGCCACAAGAGTTCTATAAAAATCCACATGGGTTTTTTCACTAATGCTGAATGCTAAAAAGTTTGCAATTATGTAAATGTTAATACCCGTGTTAAGCTGTGATATTTCGCTATATTACAGTCCATATATTTATTTTAATTCAAAATAAACATTTTTAAACCTTTTGTTTTGGATTGTACTTAATGTTTACATTGTTTATACGGTTCACTATACTTTTACACAATAAAGAGTTATTTCAAATAATAAATTTTTTTAAACGTTTTCAAAACAAAATATGTTATTAAATTGTCTAGTTAGTGACGTGATATTCCTGTTCCTTGCCTGCTTTAAGCAAAGTCTTTAGAATCTGTTTCAGTCGAAGCTTTATTTAAAAATAAAATAAGGTTACAGTGCCTGCCTGATTTGATGACTTTAAAGTCCATTAAAGTTACTGCCTTAGTTACTGGCTTCATATTAAATTTCAGTTTCAAGTGTATCTGCAGTCTGGGGTGCCCCAACCTGATCTGGACACTTCCATGAATGCACACAATCAGTCACAAGATGATGAGATTGATGCTGCTCTCAAGGACCTGCAGGAGTCTTTGGAAGGTTCATCTGTAACCGCAAAAAGTGACATTACTCATGTGCCAGAATTATGTGACTACGTCAAATTTTTTAAGTAAGTTTAACCAGGGAAAAGATCTCATATATATATATATATATATATATATATATATATATATATATATATATATATATATATATATATATATATATATATATATATATATATATATATATATATATATATATATATATATATATATTTAAAATATTGTCAAGCATATTCATATGTAGGAATTTTACTGATATTATTCCAACAGTATAAATATAAACAGATTATTTAAATATGTTTTCTGAAATGACTCATCATGAAGAGTAAATTTACTTTACTGGCAACCTAGCAAGTCCATCTAGACTTCAACGACATTATGTAACAGTTGCACACATAAACTTTACTAATACCACCACAATCAAATATAAACTAGGGAGGAATCTAAATATTGTTAAAAAAAACAGACAATCCCCTCCTCTGTTGGTAGGCAAGTGCAATAATATTTATACCACCATTGTTGCTAAGTGTTATTATCAGAGCTTTTCTCTAGAAAAAAAAAGGTGCAGAGACTCACTATAAAGTGCCTAAAAAAACTAAGGTGTCGGTACTAACCACAAAGTTTCCATTCTAGTTGTATTTTTTTTAAAGCATTGCCAGTACTGTGTACTGTTTGGGTACCACCAGAAAAAAAAACCATGTTATTGTATCAGTTAATTATCTGTGATCTGTATCTTCCAGGCCCAAGAAATTGACGCTGAAGAGCCACAAGAGGTACTATGCCACATTCAGAGACACGTTCATCAGCTTCTATAGAAGCAAAGAAGAATCCAAAGGGACGCCTGTCATGGCAAGGATTGATGTTAAAGGTAAATAGGGACTGTTGTGTCTTCAAAACATTTTCAAGAAAAGTGACTAACTAGTCTAAATGTTTGTCGGGTACGTGAGTCAAGTAACTGAAGGACCATGTTCATTATCTTCTTCTTCTTCAGCATTCCGAGCCCTTGAGGTTCATTGCTGTAGATATCACCCCCCTGCATTCATATCTCTGGTTCACCTTCTCTTTCCAGTTGGTGACACCAAGTGTTTGCAGGTCTGTCTGGACATTATCTCTCCATTTTCTTCTTGGTCTGCCTCGTGGTCTACAACCATTCATTTCCTTTGTGTATACTATTCATACTAGTGATATATCCAGCTCATAATGCTAGACATTTATTTTTCTACGCCACTCAGCACGCTATGGGTAATGTAGTCAACATCCCACCAACTACCTTTACTTCTCAGGAGATTTCCTGGTCCTCATTTTTTGGGTGCGGCGTCCGTGGCTAAGGCGTTGCGAGTCTGACTCGTAGTCCAACGTACCGTGATCGAAACCCACTGCGGGCTGCGTGGATTTTTATTGTGGTATGGGACGTCGCAGGTCGACCCAGCCTCAAATGGGTACCAGGATCGGCTGTCCTGGGAAAGTAAGGACGGCCGGCGTAATGCTGACCACATTACCCATCCAGTGCCGATTGGTCTGTAAAAATATGGGTGCTCTTCGCATGTGCCCGATGCGCCTAAGGGTGTGTAAAGGGATCTTTACTTTACTTTTACATTTTTTGGGTTAACCTGGGGGCCAAGGTCAATTGAAAAAACAATCTACCTCAAATTAAATAAGAAACAACATCACATCACTTGGGACATTACCATAAGCACTACATCTCCATTCTCAGCAGAAAGTGTAGAATTCCAATTCTGATGGCACCAGGAACTGTCTGATTGTATATCTGTTTTGACTTTCCCTTGAGTGTTGAGCATCAGCCAGATCCCTTGTTCCTCATGGCAACATTCTTCTCAGAGCATGAAGTTCTGTTTGTTTCTCTACACTGTTCTCTCATTCCCAAAGGGTTCTTTCAACACCTGGCTTGTCATGCAACAATTTGCTACCAAGAGATACGGAGCCAGTCGGTCTATCTGCATGTTCATTTTGTAATACCAGTTAACCAGCAGAAAATATCCAATGATGTTAACTACCCAGGACATCTGAAGCAATGCCTGCCACTCTGCATGGGGCACATTTGTCTCCACCCTTCTCATATCATGGAAAGATATAAAACCGAATAAAAAGTAGATCAGCGAGCTTCACAATATAATAAAATACAAACAAAACATGAACGTTGTGGCTATAGAGCCTTTATCAGCACATACATAAATAAAACAAAACCACATGAATACAAAAAAATTACTTAACAGAGTATCCAGAAGCAGCCATGCTGATGTCTTGCCAGTGGAATGAGGAGAAAAGTTGGACCCAGCGAATAAATAGCCATGGAGTGCAAAGGGCCGTAACTTGAGAATATTAGATGAAACTGTGGACAGTTCAGTGCTCTGGGCATGAGTGTGCCCAAGGTGAAGAAAAAGTGATTTTCAAGAGTCTTGCGGACTCTGTTGCTGGAGTGGCTAGATTTAATGGCTGTCACCTCCATGTCGTGGACACCTTGGTGATCTTGGGAATTGTAGTGCAACTGTACTGGTTTCAGAGCACCGTTCTGCACATCTAAAAGATGTCTGAACCTGTCCGCTAGTCGTAGACCTGTTTCACTAATGTATTTCATGCCACATCTCTTGCAGTTGATGGCACAAATGACATTGCGGCTCGTGCAATAGAATGCTTCATGTAGGTGGAAGGTAGCATTCGGGAATTCTCTGAACCACAAATGGGCAAGTCCTGCATAAAGGTCTGTGGCAAGATATCGTGCTAAAGTGGGACCCAAACGCAGGACGTAACCAACTCTTGACTAGGTTACGGTCATGCCTGTAGGCCACTAGAGGAAGTTCAGAGAAAATCGTGCTGGTGGCAGGGTCAGTCCTAAGGATGGAAAGATGCCTGAGGAGAATATATTTGGCATGGATGTTATGAGGGTGGTAGTTAAGTATGAGTTATGGTGTTGTGGTGACTTTAGGCTTGGAAATGAGGGCCTCAGCAAGATGGATAGACCACGGCTCAGTGAAAGGCAGTAGATAAGACATGTTGAAGATACCCTCAAAGCCGGTAGAAGTCCAGCATTTCTAGGGTCTTGTGGTGAAAGTCATCATTCTGATGGCATAGTCTACGGAAGCGTAGAAGCTGGGAGAAAGTAATGTAGCCCTTGCAGGAGGAAGGATGAGAGGATGTATAGAGAAGAAAAGCATGGGAATCAGTAGGCTTATAGTACACTGAGATGCTGAGGCCTTTAAAATCCACAGTGACAGTGAGATCCAAAAAATGCACTGACAACAGTGAAATGCTGGAAGTGCATCAGATGCTAGGATTTAGATTGGAGAAGAAAATGAATGAAGTCCTGAATTTCAGATGGGGCATATCGATGACAATGAATGACACTGATGCAATCACTGATATACCTTCTGTAGAGCTGGGGGAACCTGCCCATCTTTCTCAGTAAGCTCTGTGAATCAGTTACAATTACGACATGTTTGTATAGCTGGTTCTCAAGCCAGCGGAAGGCAGCAGTGATTGCCTCAGTGTGGATTGAAACTGAGGATCAGCAAGCCAGCATATAGTTACCCTGCTACTGTAACTCTCACTTGGTAGGGTACAATGTTAAAAAATTGTCTTTCTTCCTGTTAAGGCCTTGAAAACACATGAGTATTACCCTCTTTAGACGCTTCTAATGACATGCCTCAGTCATCCCCTAAGGACTCTAGCAACACATGGATAAATAAGAGATTCTGCTTATGTCTGTTTTCCATTTCCCTCAGGTTGTGAAGCCCAGCCGGATGTAAACCTGTCAGCTCAGAAGTATGTTATCAAGTTGTTTGTGCCAGAACCTGAAGGCATGTCTGAGATCCACTTGAGGTTTGAATTGGTGAGTGTATCAATAACTTTACTGTTGTATCATCTGGGTGAAGTGTATCAATATCTTTACTGTTGTATCATCTGGGTGAAGTGTATCAATATCTTTACTGTTGTATCATCTGGGTGAAGTGTATCAGTATCTTTACTGTTGTATCATCTGGGTGAAGTGTATCAATATCTTTACTGTTGTATCATCTGGTTGAAGTGTATCAGTATCTTTACTGTTGTATCATCTGGGTGAAGTGCAAATACAAAATTTTATGATTTAAAAAACAAAAAACTAATCCAGATCCCAGTCATAGTATGTACAGTTCTTCCTCCTATTCGCCAGCTTGTCTAACTTTGGTAGTTATGTCTTGTATTGTGTCAGTCATCATTTCATCTTTACAGTGGAGATTGCCTGCTTTCCTTTAAGATAACATGTCATGATGGGAAAACTGTTCAACATCCTCCCTCTTGATTTCCTTCTGTCTAGGCTTTTCTCTGGATATCTCATTGTTATAACCATTGTTTCTAGAATAAAAGTGCAAGTACTATGGGAAAACTGTTCAGCATCCTCCCTCTTGATTTCCTTCTGTCTAGGCTTTTCTCTGGTTGTCTCATTGTTATAACCATTGTTTCTAGAATAAAAGTGCAAGTACTATGGGAAAACTGTTCAACATCCTCCCACTTGATTTCCTTCTGTCTAGGCTTTTCTCTGGATATCTCATTGTTATAACCATAGTTTCTAGAATAAAAGTGCAAGTACTATGGGAAAACTGTTCAACATCCTCCCTCTTGATTTCCTTCTGTCTAGGCTTTTCTCTGGTTGTCTCATTGTTATAACCATTGTTTCTAGAATAAAAGTGCAAGTACTATGGGAAAACTGTTCAACATCCTCCCACTTGATTTCCTTCTGTCTAGGCTTTTCTCTGGATATCTCATTGTTATAACCATAGTTTCTAGAATAAAAGTGCAAGTACTATGGGAAAACTGTTCAACATCCTCCCTCTTGATTTCCTTCTGTCTAGGCTTTTCTCTGGTTGTCTCATTGTTATGACCATTGTTTCTAGAATAAAAGTGCAAGCACTCACCACAAAATGTCTATAAAAAGGTGCCAGTAGTTTCACAGGTCGGGTTCACTTGTAGAAATGAATCCTCTATGCCACATCTACAGAGAGTCTATGGATAAACTGCTCCCTCTGCACACACTGATGATCACAGAAAATATTGCCAATGAGAGGGTGACTTCACTAGAAAAAGCCAAAGAGGCTTATTAGGAAAGACCTCACAAACAAACAATAAACCACAGCCTGTGAATCTTCCCCAAAAAAATACTTCACCGCCTAACTGGTTAAAGGAGAAGGGTTCGGTGACTAGTGACAATAGATCCACTGGGGTTAATGTTTAGATATATTGTCTTAAACTGGTTGTGTCGACTGACAAATACAGTTAATATTATACTAAAAATGAACTGCAAAAACTGAATATTTACATTCATAATTTATATTGTCATAAAAGTGGAAAAGAATAGTTTAGTTATTCCACTATCAGTTGAAAAATATAATCATCTGACAACTTGGTGGAGGTTTTCTTTGTGAATGATTTGACATGTCACTTAGTTGATGTTCTTGTTTCCTCTGACTGTTTGATTAGCCACCACTGATTCACACATACAGGATATCAACTCTTCAAGGCCCTGCTACTGTGTCTTCTTCTTCTTCTCTTCCACCTTGTACCTCAGTGAAGTGTCGGGGGGAGATGTAGCGTTCGTTGATGAGCTCTGTCACGAGCACTATTAAGATTGATGTTCATTTCTGTAAGGCTGTTCTCAATACTATAACTCCGTATTTTCCGAGGTCTTCTGCTTGCTCTATACCTGTTGTAACGTTTTAGTGTGGCTTGCTGTGGTAGATAGTACCAGGGCATTCTTGTTAGGTGTCAAAACTACTTTATTTGTTGTTCTTTGAAGACCTGTAAGACTGGCTTTATTCCTAGCATTTGTCTGATTTTGTATTCTGTCTTTCCTTGAAACTCCTGCAGCTCTTCTAAGGCATTTCATCTCTGTTGTCACAATGTTATGTTCATTAGAGGATGTAAGTGTCCACATTTGGCACTGATAGCATAATGTTGGCCAAAAATACTAAATACTGTGTACCATTGTGACTTATTAACCTCAATCATGACCAAAACTGCCATTATACTGGTTCTTGTACAGGAGGAGCAGTACTGTCGTTGGATGGCAGCCTGTAAGTTAGCCTCCAAGGGAAAGACCATGGCTGATAGTTCCTATGAAGCTGAGGTGGCAGCTCTGCAGAATTTCCTCAGCTTGCAGCATCCTGTCATTTGTACATCACAGAACTCAACAACTCCTACCACTGCACCGAATCATGTAGACATCCAGCCTGAAGATTATGTCGCTCCGAGGTTTATTAAAAAAGCTAGAGTTAAAGGGGTAAGTTATTCTGTTCTTTTTCACACTTTGCAGTTTTTGATAACAAGATGCATTTCGATTTTCATGTATATATGTATGTGTTGTTAATAGTCTCTATGCATCTTCGGTTTATTTTTAATTTTGCCTTGCACTGTTGCATTTTAACAAGTAGCAAATCACATCAGATTCCTTGTGATGGTTGTATTTTAGAAATATGGAATAGAATCCATGCCCCCTCCCCCAACAAGCATGTAGTAAAAGTCAACTAATCTGGGGTGGTTCCTTCAAAAGTCAGAGTACAACTGTCTGAGAGGCAAGGAACCAACAGTCTGTTTACAAAAACACAAAAGGAACGCGTCTCAAAAGAGGCCGCTCTTGGATGGCAAAGGCTGAGAATTTGATCCAGCAGGTATGTGACCTACGCGTTATCAGGCACGGAAAAGAATGGATGAATACACCAGTAGACATGCATTGCATCTCTAAGGTTGTCATCACACTAGGAAGGTACTGTCGGGATCAAATTCCTGCGGCCATAGACACAGAAGTAAGGGAACTGATAGATCAGCATTCAGACCCAGAAGATATCATCATCTACACAGATGGGTCCGTGAAGCGCGGATCAAGGTCAGCATGGGCATACACAGCGCAAAGAAGGGGGAAAACAATACATGAGGACAGCGGCGCTTACCAGACAACCACGTCAAGCATGACCATGGAAATAGCCGCTGCTTCTAGAGCTTTAGCATGGGTATCCGAGCAAACGGCCACACAAGCAGTAATTGTCTCAGACTCAATGAATATGCTTCAGAAAATAGCAACAGGCAGTATGCGCTCTGAATGGATAGAAAGCATTCGGAAATCGCACTTAACTTCCGTAACCTGGATCTACACACCGGGTCATGCGGGCGTAAAGGGAAATGAGCGAGCGGACCAACTGGCAAGCACAGCACTAATGATTGCGAGAAAAAAGCATGGACAGAGCAGATATCGTTAACGCTGTACGTACTGGGCTAGTGGATAATATCGAATCCCTGACACTAACACGATTGCGTGACATGGGAGTTAAGCATGGTGAAGCACGTCTTTGCCGTCTGCGAGGCCGAGAAAGGAGACAATATAACCAGCTTCTCATGGGGACAATTAGTAGAAGTACTTTGGAGTGGCTGCTGCTTCAGAGGACTGCGCACGCATGGGTATGCCCAATGTGCAGTGACGTCGATTGTGATAACAAAACACAAAATAACATTTTATAGGAAGTCGGCATTCTGAAACCCAAGTTCAAGGTGTCTCCTTCGTGCCAAAGAACTGCATGGCTGTTGGGTGAACAGTCGTTAACGAAGGCAGTCAGGTCGTTGTAGGGGCGACGCCTGCTGGTGGATGTAATGTCCTAAGTCCCTTTCCCAGCTAATAGTGAGGGTACTGCTGGGGTGACCATTTGTTAACCCCTCACATAATGCTTCAAGTCACAGTGGACACTAGGCACGACCACTTTTTTTTTTTTTTTTTTTTTTTTTTAAAGCCGTGGCAGTTCTGCCAGGCGGTGGCCGTTGCATTTTTGCTCCATTTGTAGACTGGAAGGATATAGTTTCGTCACCCAGCTTCTGAGTTGAGTGCATGGTGTGACACTGTGAGCTACGAGTGTTTTTCGTTGGCACAGGAGCGGAGCAACAATGGGGTGACCCGTTTGCTATGATGCTGAAACTAGGATTACCAGATTACCAGATTACCAGGTTTACCAAAAAAAAAGTCAGATCTGCAAAACTGATGTGCATGGATAACTCAATTTCTGAAACAGGACTAAAGTCCTGCAGTGGATGAACAACCACAACTTTCTGCTGGAGCTTACAGCCAGTGAACATAAAGAAGAAGAAGAAGATTCAGATGTCATCCTCAGATATGTAGTAGTGTGCAGTGGATCTTTAGTATCTTCTGCCTCTTCTCCAGATGGTGCAGTCTACCATTAACTTTCCTGTTCATCTGTTGATCTTATCTTCCCACATAAACCGTTGCATTTATCTTGAATGTCTGCTTGTACCTTTTTCTCTAGCATAGTATAAACAATAATGACTATTTATTTCTTGCATAAGACCTTTGCATAAATAGGTCACAGTTCATGGAAAGAAAAGCAGTTGGGGATTTTGGAGAGACTAGGCATGAAAAGAGAGTTGCTGAGTCACATAAAAGGCTCTTTTAAAGACTATACTGGAGGGAAGAGTTAGAGGCAAGAGATCAAAAGGTAGTAAGTGACACAAGTGAGAGGACAACATCAGGAGAAGGAAGAATAACAGTCTGAGATAGTGTACAACCATGATGTGAGACAGAGAGTATTGAAGATCTATTGGAGTCATTATTTGCAAGGTTGCAGGTCGCAGTCGTGAAGTGGTCATAACATTTGCTTTGTGATCTGAAGGTCATGGGGTCATTTTAAAGATGTGTTGTTCATGTCATAGGTGCAGATTTAATGAAGATCTCTGGGGATTTTTGCCAGAGCTACATAGTTCAGGCTTTGGAGACTGACCAAACCATAGGGGTTAAAACATGTGTAATGAGGTTGATTCTCTTGACTTTAACCTTTGCTGCTGTGGAAATAGTACCTGATTGATAAGGCAACATTCTGTGTGATCACATATTCCTACCACTATGTACCTCAGTGTTTTATTTACTATGTTAGAAAGTTACACGCAAATGAATATAATTGAGAGATTAAGACTACCTTAACAGAATTCACAGTTTAACAACTAATTTTTTCAACTATTTACCCAGTGTAATAAAATCCAAACTTGAAATTTGTTGTCCTTATTTGAACATCCATGTCAGTTCCTGTAGCTTATTCTGCTTATATTTTATTTAATACGAAATCAGTGATCATCTCATATTAACCCCCAATACATGTAGTAATCACATCCATACACATGCCTTAAAAAAAATACTAATATTTGTCTCACTATTTTGCCAATTAGATTTTTAAATACTAATTTCCTTGACCTTGCAGGTAATTGGTAAAATTATGGAGGCTCATTCTAGTGTTCAGGATATGTCACTGATGGAGACAAAACTGGCCTATATAAAAGCCTGGCAGTCCCTTCCAGAATATGGCATTACATATTTTCGTATCAAGATGGCTAACTCCAAGAAAGAGGTGATTAGTGTTATTTAACATTTTAGGTTATGTGGATTAATTCTTGAGTAATAAGCATTAGATTGATGTGATATTGTAGATACATATGACTACTACCAGCACCGACTGGTGTTGGTAGTCATATCTATTTTTAGCCTTCTGTCTCATTTACTTTCAGTATCTTCTAACACAGATGATCTATCCCATGATGTCAGACTACCCAGTATCTTCTCTCTCAGTCTCTCTCTCTCTCTCTGCATCCTTACCCCTCCAACTTTCCCATTATCACGATGTACTCTAGTATTCTTTTTCTCATGACATGACCAAAGAATGTAGATTGTCTACTTCTAATGTGTGTCAGTTTCTTTCAAGAAACTGTTGTTACTCTTTTTTATCTGGCCAAGGTATTTTCATCAATTGTCTATAAAACCTCATCTCTGCTGCTACCAAATAAGATTAATTAAATAGCTATTAATAAATTACTAAGATTTCTAGCTGTAGTCTTGGAATCTGTCAAATATTGTCTTCCTGTTATGCCATTGTGTGTCACAAAGGGTTCACAGACTAGTTCTCCATTCATTTCTATCCTGTGCAATGCTCTCAGTATCATGGATGGAATCCAAACCAGTGCCTTTGGTCTCTATCAATAGTATTCATCTCAGGGTTTCTCTTGGGAATTGATGTTTCTTAAATCCAGTTGTTTTGCTATTTCTGTACCTGTTAAGTGATTCTCTCCCCCCCCCCCCCCCCCCCCCCCGAATTTACTTTCTCATTGTCACAGTATACTCTATTGTTCCTTCTCACAGTGTGCAAAAATGAATGTGGGTTGTATTTGTCTGATGATATAGCTGTCATTTATTTTAAACACTTGCAAATATTGAATTAAATTATATAAAACATTATTAAAATACTATGGATCAAGAAGAAGAAATATTATAGATATTCTTCCAAATTTAAACATGATAGAAAACTGGTTCATAAACAAATAGCTTGGAAACTGAATTATTTTAACCATTTAACCCTTGCAGTACCAAGTACTCACTGTACATTCATTAATTAATCTTTATATGGTATACAACTTCTTAACTTTTCCAACCATATTCTCACCTAATGTTAATCTGTGGTATCCCAGTTATCTCATTGCTGTATTAATTTCTTTAACCATTTGAGTTTCAAGGTTGTTACTTGAAAGTGTAACTGTAATAGGTTAGAAAGTGTTGAATTAACTACTCGGTATTGAGTTAAATTGTTTTGTCCGGTCAATGTGGCTAATAGGTGTTTACTGATTTTTAGTGATGGCAAGTTTTTGCTACTGATTTTTTGTAGTTCCTGCTTCTGTCCATGACGAACTGCATAATATAGTGACAAAATGTTTGTGGTGGCACTTCTGATGGCTGCTTTATGCTTTTAATGTGTGTGTTAGCTATTGGCTTTGCTGAGACTACAGTCTGTGTCAATTGTTTTCACAAGCGACAGTGATGGACATTCTGCGTGGATTTTGCTGGTTTATAAACAGAGCAGCTGTGGGGTGACCCGTTTGCTATCAAGTTGGAACTGTGATTATCTGATAACCACAGGTGGATGTCACAATGGCTTAGAAAAAGCAGCAAAGAAAGGCTCTTTCATCCTTGATGATGAGACACAATTTGACCAGCATGAAGTTGGACACAGTCCTGTGAAGTAAAGGCAGCTAGTGTGATACTGACCACATCACCCACCTTGTACCGATAGGTCCATAAAATACTGGTCTAGCCCTATATGCCTGAAGGCGTGAAATAGGGTCCTTTACTTTACTTTTTTACTTATAAAGTTGGACACAGCATATTTATGACACCTTGGACATGACAATGCATGAGTCTAGGGAATAAGCAAGGGCATGACAGAAAGAAAGAAAAGAAGAAAAGAATGTGATTGAAATGTTTAATTTTTAAATATTGATTGTGATAATTATTGTCCCCAGGAACTCATGGGTGTTGCTTCAAACAGAGTTATCCTCATGGATTTAAATACAGGGGATTCACAAAAAACCTGGCGCTATAATACACTACTTTCCTGGCGTGTCAACTGGGAGGTTGAAAATGTTATTTTAGAATTTGAATCAGAGAAGGTCACCTTTTCCTCCATGGAGTGCTCATGCAAAACTATTCATGAATTCATTGGCGGGTACATTTTCTTGTCTACGAGGTCCACAGACAAAAATCAGACTCTAAATGAGGAGATGTTTCACAAGCTGACAGGTGGTTGGCATGAGTAACGTGTTTCACACTGTAATAATACTATCACTGTCAAGTACCTTTGCTCACTGGATTGGGCAATCATTCTTTCCACAATGTGCGATGTTTAACAGCATGAATTAGTGTGGTGATAATTTCCAGTACCATGAGAAAACATACGTAGCATATACCAAGGCTCTCATCTGATGCCTTTTCAAAACCTGATGCTGAAAGGCAATACAGAATTAGAGAAGAAGAAGAGAAAAATTTATCAGTAATCTTCTTCTCTTGCTCTGATCTGTCTCTCTTTTTTCTAAAAATTTTAATGCCTGTTTCAGTTTTTTCTTCTAAAAAAAAAGGATGACAGCCTCTTTCTGACATCTGTGATAAACTGTCTTAGTATCTTAGAATTAAAAAAAAAAGAAGAAAATAATCAAGAATATCCTAGAATGTCAGCATTACTCTATAAAAACACACATCTCATTTGTCTTTAGAAAATTTATCAGTATCTATTAAGATTTATGATATGTCTGCACACAAGTATATCAATTCTTAGCGTGTCAAAAATGTATGTTAAGCTATATGTATGATAATTTGTTTTTGTTTCCATTTTTTAAAAGATCACACTTGTTTACTAGTTGTATCATATGTAAGTTAAACAGCACTTTATTTTGTGTGTTTTCTGTTTACTATTCAAATCTTTGCCGGCATGATGCTGACCACATCACCTATCTTGTGCTGACTGGTCTATAAAAATATAGGTCTAGCCCTATACGCCTTAAAGGCGTGGAAAAAGGTCCTTTACTTTTTTTTTTCAATTCTAATCTTTATATTCATTACAGTTTTGCTATTTTTTTCTATTTTATTTGCAGGTAATGTATGTAGAGATTTTAAGAGATGTTTAAATGTGGAATGTTAATCAGCTTAGCTGATAGTATGACAGTATGCTTGATGCTTAAAGTAAAAGGCAATTAATTAAGTTATACCAAATAATCCACTTATTAGAGGGATGCATAATCACTTGTTCATAATTTGTAATATAGCAATTGTGTTTTATATATATTTACATAATCATCTAAGAAATTGCAGGGGCTTTATGGGTTTATATGTATATAAAAAGCATTTGATCTTAGCAGATGTTGTAGTATACCTTATTTGCAAATTGTATTCTAGCTTGTATTTTTTTTAGTATGCTACAGCAGGTTATGTATAGGTTATGTGTGTGTGTGTATATATATGTGTGTGTGTGTGTGTGTGTATAATTTCAGAATAATTTTTCACCACACTGCCTTATCATCTACAAAGCAAGTGCATGTGCAAAATGTCAGCCTAATTGCTTATCAGGGAAAAATAAAAATATCTAATGCAAAAACTGAACCAGACAAACAAACAAAACTGAACTTAATAAAAGTTTATGAAAAAGAGATACCCACAATATATGTCTCAGAGATTTAAATACTTTGGCCGTATTAAATGCCAAAAAGGGCTTAGAAAGAACAGTAACAACATATACAGTTCCTGGAAGAAGAAGCAGGAGTTGATCAGTGTGATGGTGGACACAGGATTTGGGCGACACCGCATGTATGAAAATACATGAAGTAGAAGAATTAGCTGAGAAACTTTCTAGTGGGCTGTGAAGTAAGTGACATGATACAAAGGATCTTCTTTGTGATATAATATGTAGCAATATAGTTAATGTTTTTGAAGATCACAGATATGGGTTGAGTCGAATCAAGAATTGACATCACAACACTCAGGGGTATTCCCATGTGTGCTCCGTCCTCATCTTCAGCAGTCAGTGCAGAGTTCCAATATTGATGGTACCGGTCACAATCTGGTTATATGTCCATCTTGCCTTTCCCCTGAGTGTAGTGAGCCGGCCAGACCCTCTGGTTATACTCAGGTGCCTCATTCTCTCCAGGCCATAATAATCTTGTTTCTCTACTAATTCCGTTGTTTGTTCCAAAAGGGCCTTGATCACATCTGCCTTGTCATGTATCAATTCACCACCCAGTGGTGCAGATCCAACCAATCTATCTGCCTGTTCATTACCCACCATGCCGGCATGGCACTATCTTCTCCAGCACTTTACCAAAGATGTTTTGTAGGGTTATGATGCTAAAGCCGCTGAATGTTGAATGATTCTTGCCAGACTTAGGAAGTGGAATCAGGTAGCTGTGCATCCACTCCTCTGGGACTGAAGCTGTCCTAATGATCTAGTTGAAACAAGCAGTCATCTCCACCAGGTCTGCATCACTCTCATGTCTTTCATGAGGGAATATCTAACCCCGTAGGGCCTGGATGCAGTGTCTTTTGCCCTTCTCAGTACACATTTTAGATATTTCACTATCCTCTTGAAAATGCTGTCTTTATATTTATAGTTTCTTTGCCCTATTTAAGTCTGTCCTGTTTGTTATTTTATATTACCATATCCTTCTGTAGCTGCATTAAAAAAAAATTAATCTGCCTCTTTTTTAATTTATACCATTTTAGACAGTCTGACTGTCAATTTAAATGACTTCCTGAAAAAATTACAGAACAGAAGAAAATCTTAACTTTCACACCTTCTTCTCATCTAATTATGTGGATGTTTCAGTTTTTCTCACATTGCAGTCCACTATATTATGTAAAGAATTCAGAATATTTGTAATAATTCGATTGCTGTTATTGTAATGATGAATATAAAAAAAAAGTGTTTTCTTACTTTCGACTTAACTAAAACAGTTGTATTTTAACTGAAGCATTTATCAGTACTTTTCTGTGTATCAGTATTATTATTCCATACTTGTTTTTATAATAAAAGTGTGTTTTCTTGAAAATGTAAAATGTAAATTTGATCTTGCATGTATGGAACAATATCTGTGCATCACAGAATAGCTTTCTTAAAAAAATAAAACACTGTAAATAAACCACAAGCTTTTCAAATGCAATTTCCCTTCTAAACAGACTCCTATTGTTGACAGAAAGATGATCACATGGTAGCTAACACTGCTGTGATAAAATATATGAACTGACTGTAGTAAAGCTGTATAAATGTAAAAAAAAAAAAAATGGAAAACATCTGAAGATCTGTGGATTTCAAAGACTCGTTTAGGAAGGAAAAGGGATGAAATAGATTCACTACACTCTAACATATTAACATATGCATCTGTGGTTAAGGCATTGTGAAAGCATTTTGTATGCCGGGGTACCTAGTTCTATCACACCTGCAGGCGATTTAGCAGCAGACTGTCTTGCATTGGTTTTAACAGTGGTACTGAGAGCTGACCGTTCAGAAAGCAGTGGCAAACTACTGAATGTAAATTTGCCTACAAAAACTGCAACAGCTCAAAAATGCTGGGGTTGGTTCTGCAACATCCTGTAAAGGACACATAACTAACTTTAACTCCATAACAACAATTATTATAAGGCAATTAATTCAGGAGGGAAGGGGTGTGGGGGAGGTGTGAAACTCACTACCCCTTTACTGGAAAGTTCTATAAGGCAACGAATTCAGGGTTTGCTAAAGTCAGATGTGTTGGGTAAAAAAAAAGGAGGGATATATATATATATATATATATATATATATATATATATATATATATATATATATATATATATATATATATATATATATATATATATATATATATATATATATATATATATATATATATATATATATATATATATATATATATATATATATATATATATATATCGGCTATAATCTGTCAACTGTGATTTCAAAGGCAAATGCAGAAAAAGACGAAGGTAAAACACAAAGTATATATATATATCAGCTTTACAGAACACAATGTAATAAACAAAAATTATGCTGATATGCTGCAGATGTCACACGAGGACATGACAGACATAGTAGGAGAGTTAAATTCAACGATAGTATCAAGAGTGGTCAGATTAAAATACTTCTCCAACAGGAAGTATCTCTCTTCATCGTCTGTTGGCTAGCCGTAGCACTGTTCCATAGACGAGTGATACACAGGTGTGGTTGTTGGTCCTCAGAACCGATAACCATCTGCCCAGGATTGTCTCAAGGTTCTCCGTTGTCTCCAATTCTGTTCAATGTATATACGGTGCTGATAACATGGTGTATTGACATGGAAGAAACTGCCAGGAGATGGCCAATGCCGTATTTTACTGTTATTAGTCAAACTAGAATGTTATTTTTCTCAGAACTCACAGAAGAAAAGATATTTAGGAAGATATGAAACACACAGAGAGGAGAATGTGAAAAAGATACAGTCTGATAATTAAATCATCAGACTAGTTTTATTATGGCCAAAATCTGTCTCAGCTAACTCAAAAGCATTTTTCCGAGTCTGAAACATAATTTATGTTCACCTTTGGTTACATGTTGCATACATAAAGATGCAGCTTTCACTAGCTAAACAAACTGGTGGATTACCTGTCTGCTAACCATGTTACAATTTTGTCAGATCACAGATAAATGATTACATGCTTTGCTTCATGGATGACATTTTTGTTTTGGCCATAATAAAATCGTTCTCACTGTTTCATTGTCAGACCCTGTGTATGAAATTATGGCAGAAGACATGCAGGAAGCTAAAGGAGATGGTAAAAGTTAGACAGGCTTGGTGTCAGTTGCTTGAGCTTATGCTCCACTGGGAGATAAAATCAGATTAGAGCAGTGCAAAGTGAAAAACATGCAAGAACTCACAGTCGCTACACAAACCAAAACAGAACAGAAATCATCAGCATAAACACATTAAGAAACATGCTTAGGAAAAGATAGAAACACGTATGGATATGCCTGATGGGCAATGAAGATGATCTTGAAATTAACAATAAACAATGTGAGATACAAAACTGACAAAGAACAGATGTAATATTTAATTACATAAATACATTATAAATGATAAATATGATGACAGGTAATCTCCAGCAACCAATAGAAAATTCTGAAGGAATTTCAGGAGACAATAAAATCATACTCATTATCATAATTGTCAGATGATCATGCTCCTCCTCAACTTTCTACTGTCTGTATTCTTGGTTCCCATGTGGTTTCTGGGGCTCTGTGTTGGAGGAAAAAAAAAAAAGAACAGACCTGCCGCCCTTCAAAAAGCATGTCATAAAATGTTGAGTGTTGAATTCAGAGTTTACATCACAGCGCTCGGGACACCGCCATAAGCGCTCTGCCCCCATATTCAGCAGCAAGCGAAGAGTTAAAATTCAGATGGTACCAGTAACTGTCTGATTGTATATCCGTCTCGCCTTTTCCCTGAGTGTCGAGCATCGGTCAGATCCCCTTGTAACTCCTCGTAGTGCCATTCTCCTCAGACCATAATGATCTGTGTAAAATATGACTAATGTAAAATGTGACTAATTAAGGGTTTGTTAAGATCAGATAGCAGAGTCTAGCTGTAAATGACAATACAACGTTTACAACCACCCTTTTAAGAGCAAACACAGAAGAGGAAAAAAGAAGTATTCTTGGTGAGTTTCGATGCTGTTTTCATGTTTTCCCACAACTCACACATTTTCTTCTCCCTCTGTTATCCTCTGAAAATTTCAGTGTTTTGCTTTCCAGTCCTTGCATTCCTGTTGGGGTCTGTGGCTTAGGCTTTTCGTAATGCCGGGTTTGATCCCAGATGTCGGCAATTTAACAGTACATTTTTTTTATATGCTGGTATTGGTTCCGCAACATCCTGTAGAGGATATGTACCAGACTTCATTTCAATAACGTCACTAACAAATATTCACTGATGATTCTATGGGAGTTTTAACTGCTTTTGTGAATATTCCTACTCTTGAGTGGCAGTGGAAAACTCAGTCTGCTTATGAGGTGATGGGACCCAGCATTCTGTGATGAACTATAGCATTTCAATTACCTATAACTTCTTTTTTCTAACCTTCTGTTTATTGTTAATGAGTAACATAATGATAAAGTGCATATTTATGGAATAACATGTTTTGTATCATCTAATATTAAAAATGCTATCATAAGACAGACAATATTTTAAACAATATTGCAAGGATTAGCTGTATCTTTTCTCAACAGTTTTGTAAGAAATAACACAAATAAATCAGAATTTTAAAAAAAAATGCACATGTGCCATGCAATAGATTACTAGAATTACATATTCTTGCTATATAATACATTAGGATACACATTTTCTATAGCAGAAACTCTCATGCATGATTACACTGTATTAACCATTAAAGGAGTCACAACAGCCCAAAGGTCTTGTGTTTGAATCCATACAGTCACATTTTAAAAACAAATAACCTTGGCTCCCAGGCTGACCCAGTCTAAAATGGTTTTAGGGTTAAGGCCTTGGCAGTAAAGATGACCAGCATGATACTGACCACATCACTCATCGAATTACAATTGATCTTTAGAAATATGAGTCCAAAATCATATGCTCCGTGTACCAGTGGTGTCAAAATGCACCTTTACTTTTGCAGTGACTACTAACACTACATACACTCTGTTATAGGTGTCCGTATTTTCTCTTATGAATATAGTCTTCAAAAACATGGCAATATCTAGAGATGAATGCCGTCTGTAGGGATTCATTTTCCAACAGTACTTTTGACAAATGTGATCCATTTTCAAAAACATCCACTAAATTGTAGAATGGAAAGCATCTGGAAAAAAAGGAAGCAGCTCAAGTTTAAATAATAAAAACTGTAATTATTAATAAATTCATTTTTAAAACTAAAAATATGGAAATAAATTTTAAAAAATTCCCACAATATTCAATGGTAGTATGCAAAGGCCACAGGCCTCTGTGAATGGTGTGTGTGTGACGTATGTATGTGTGACCCAAATATCACAGCCTTGCTGTAAACCAAAACATAACATGCCAATGCCCTTTTAAGAGTGAAAACAGAAGAGGAAGAGAAAGAAGAAAATATTTCTTTGCATTAAGAAATCCAATGATTGTATAATTCTCACTATGATGACTAAATATAGGAAGATAGAGATGGGCTGGGTCTGAAGACAAGTGGTTGGAGTATATGAGGTGGTAGAGCTGACACAGATTAGTTTCCAGGGCACACAGGCATGCAAGGAAAAGAGCACGCTGATAGGTTTGCATGTAAAGAGCATGCTGATAGGTTTGCATGTAAATGTACTGTGGAGGGTGTCGCGTGCGAATGTGCACCAGAACGCACCGGTACGGAGTGAGCAAATAAGACGTCAAAACAATACGTAACGTTGTTATGTTATTGTTGTCAAAAGGAGTTGATGTTTATAGTCCGAAGGAGACGGACGTGTGGATCCCTGAGGACGCTTTACCCCGGGATCCCACGGAAGCAAACGTTATATGAAGTTGAAGTTGGATCCTTGAGGACGTTTTACCCCGGGACTCCAAGACCTCAGCAGGAAGCTGGTAAACGTTACATTTTCGGCAGTATGCCGGTATACTTTCATTGCTTAATTCGGACTTGTCCGAGGACCAAGATGATTGTCATGATCTCAAGGTCGGACTGCGACCTATCGTGAGGACATATCATTACATGGATGTACGAGCGAGCTTTGGTTGAACGAGTTGATTATTACTTGCATATGTATTCTTGAAATTGATCATTGCATTTGTCAATACACAAATGGAACTTTTAAAGAGAGTTCTTGTTCTACTACGTTGGAAGCTTCAGCATTCATCATGTTCTGTTACTCTTGGCCAGTGGCATGTTAAGTGTTGATGCCATTTGATACATTGCAACACCCCTAGTCACTTTTACGCTTGTCACAATACATTGCGACACCCCCTAGTCACTTTTACACTCGTTACAATGAAGCTTCCGCACGTAACAGAGGGTAGACGAGCCAAGGACCAGGCTGATATACTTACTGAATGCTCTATGAGAAACAAGATGTTTTGCGAGAACCAGGTGATTACTGTGGACCTGTAACTATGACCAGACTGCAAGAACAACATGTTAAAAAGGTCTGTGGCTAGACAAGGGCCCTATGCAGATAGCCAAAGAAGAAAAAGAAACTAACACCGGACTGGTGTCATCAGCCACCATTCGCTGCAGGATTTACTGAAAAGGGGATCTGTGCACTTATGGACTGAATGGTTCGATGTGCAATGAGGATAGTCTGTTGACTAACTAACTAATTTGGACTGAATGGTTCGATGTGCAATGAGGATAGTCTGTTGACTAACTAACTAATTTGGACTGAATGGTTCGATGTGCAATGAGGATAGTCTGTTGACTAACTAACTAATTTGGACTGAATGGTTCAATGTGCAATGAGGATAGTCTGTTAACTAATTTGGACTGAATGGTTCGATGTGCAATGAGGATAGTCTGTTAACTAACTAACTAATTTGGACTGAATGGTTCGATGTGCAATGAGGATAGTCTGTTGACTAACTAACTAATATAGGAGGGTTCAAATAGTTTTGAAACTGAAATATATATATGGTGATCATCATCAAGTGCCTTGCTACCTGGCATGGGCAATTATGGATCTCCACAATTTATGTTCTTCAGCAGAGTGAATCAACTATGGTGCTGATTTTATATATACAAATAAAAAAGTTAATTAATAAATTACAGCAGTATTAAACCACTGAACTCTTTTGATCTTAGACAGTTGTTTCTTTAACACTACTTGTCCCCTAGTTGTGAACTTCAGACTAGCAATCTATGAGTCGCATAACAGTGTGTGTTGCTGTGTCATCAGTTGCTCTTGAATCTCTGATCAGTTCCCTCTACCTCTGTAAGTCAAACGAAATGGACTTCCTGTTGCATGTTTTAGGCCTGTTCCTCCACCCAATTCTGTTTCAAGGTCTCTCTTGGTCTACCTCTTCTCTTCCCCTTTAAAGAGTCAAATAGTATCATTTTGGTGAGGCTGGCGAATATTGTTGCATGTCCGTACCATTTATTTTCAATTTTTTTGGGGTGTCTTTTTACTGTTGTTAAAAAAAGGTGACAGAAGAATAGGTCAGACAGCATAAGGAAATTTGCAACTTGTATCATCATCATTATTAGTCCTGCCAATAAGCAAAAGTTATCATGTTTCACCATCTCTTATGATCAAAAGATGCTCTTGTCTCATCACAACCATTTGGCCAAGCCATTAGGGTATTTATCTTTTTGCCTTCCCCTTGCTATTTTTTTCACTAATCCTGCCAGTCTCAAGTCAGTTTCTTCTTTTAGCAAGTCCAAAAAACATTGACTTGTATAGAGCAATCAATAAAAGTACAGTGACTGTACTAATACTGAAAGAGCTGAAGCCTGGTTCTTACCTATTAGTATCTTCCGATATTTCAGTAATTCCGAAATCTTGTGGTAATAATCTGTCGTAATTTACTTGATTCTTCTTAGCACTGTCTCCAAATACAGCAGTATGGATGATGGTGAGACTCTGCTCCTGAGACAGTCCTTGCTTGCTGCACATATTAACCACAGCCAGGATGAGGGTTTCTGCCAGACGGGGATTGGTTCTAACTATCATACCTGCGGGTAAAATTATATTACCGAAATTTAACAACAGGAGATATAATTGTTGAACATAATTTAAAAAATAAGTGTGTTCTCAAAACTGTCTGTTCCAATCAAAACACAATGTGTGAGCCGCGATAGCCTGTGCATATCAATCAATGCATGTTGCTTTCCAGTCGTCACGACATTTGTCAGTGCTCATTTTCTCATCACATGACCAAAGAACTTTGTTTCCTTCTCACTGGTGTATGTAATAGCTCCCTAACAAGCATGTCATAAAAGTCAGCTAATAAAGCTGTTTCTTTCAAAGTCTGAGTGTATCTGCCTGAGATGCAAGGCACCAACAGTCTGCCTACACACAAGCCAGATCTGTAAAACAGATGTGCACACAAAACTCAAACTATGGAACAAGACAAAAGTTGAGAAGTGAAGGAATAACCAGAACGTTTTTCCAGAATTAAATGCTAATGAATGCATGGAAGAAGAAGATGGAACTTACATCTAATGAATGTAAACCAGAAGATGAGACTGAGGTGGTGTGTCATGTTCAAAACACTTCAGACTATTCATCTCTTAGGACCAGCCTACTTTACTTTAACTCTTTTTATATTTACCAGTTTATAATTACTTTAATTCTTTCTATCTTGAAAAATACTAGTTGTAAACAATCAATGTTTTAGCCCAGAGCAGGAAAACAAATAGAAATGAAGCAGAAGGAACCAACAATTTTGGATACAAGGGATTTATTTAACAACTGCTTGTGATACACAAGAATCAGAACACTATGCTGTATTTGTATTAACCAATGAGCATGTAGTGAGCTGAATAGTACCAAAAGGGTTCAGAATAACTGACACAGCATGTGTAGAATGTGTATACCTGTTTTCCGCACACCAAGGGGGCATGTATGTAAGACAGTCTCTCTGTTCACTAATGCTGAAATAACATCAAGGCTGTGTTCATACTTCACTTCTGGATTCTCACACGACCACTGTAGCATAGGGCTGAGAATGTTTGATGAATGCATGATCTGACACAGTTTCCTTGAAGAAAGGCTGCTGGATAGGTTGATCACAATCTGAGAAGATGATATGCAGTCCTTGATTTCTTCAGCAACACAGGGTATTTGAGATGGCAAGACACATAGTATAATGACATGCACAGAGGAAACCAGTCGTTTATTGTTGAAATAACATTCAAGCCCCTTTTCCTGCAGACCTTTAGAGAGAACCAAAAAAATAAAGAAACAAATATGTTATTCACATACATCACCTAGAGAAATAAATTGACAGAAAGATGATATTTTAGTAAATGACATCAAATTTTCTTTCAAGATCAAATGGTTTGGATATCTTGTCGGAATGCAGTCACAACAAATTGTTAGTCATTACTTGTTATCTTTATCAACATCCCAACATAACTGTCTGACCCATCTGTGCTCCATTCTCTGATGCAGTGGTCATTTCAGTGTCTCAACGCTGACTGTACACAGTAGGAGTTTATTTTATTTATTCTTCTTTATTATATCTTCTTGCCTTGCTCTGCAGCCAGTTTCTGCATTCTTGTCCTCACTTTATACCCATTTCCATCAGTCAGTATTGGAGTTCCGTGCTGGCTGCTGAAGATGAGGATGAAGCACACATGGGAATGCCCCGAGTGCTGTCTTCCATCTATTTTTATTCCTCCACTTACTATTGCAGACAGAGCCAGTGTTGATGTAACTCTGTAGTAACGAACCTGGTGAGATACAGCGAAATATTCCTGGCAATAAATTGTGCAATGTATTGTTTGTGTCCGCATTATTTAAATTCATTACGTGAAAACATTTTTTTGAATATCTTCTTTCTTTGCTCTGCAGTCAGTTTCTGCATTCTTGTCCTCACATAATACCCATATATACATCAGTGAGTTCATTGTCTCTTTTGTCTCAATGTCTCTGAAACCCAGCAAATTCATTGTGTCTTCCATCTATATTTATTCCTTCCTCCACTTACTATTGCAGACACAACCAGTCTGACAGCTTTTTCATTTCCTTTTGTTCTGGTGTATCTTTCTTGAGGAAGGACTTCCGGATGTCGTCAACCCATTTTAGTCAGTTTGCCAATTTGGATCTTCTTAAGCACACTCAGTGAGTATGTCACTATAAATGTATGAGTTGCTTTCTATTCCACTAGACATGACAGTGCCCCTGTGATAGCTGCCATCTCCATCGTCATAACAGAAGTAGTTGAACTGAATGTCTGACTTTCTTCTCTTTCTTCCAATTCACCTGTGCTGTGTATGCCCACCCAGTGATGACAACTACTAACAAATGTACTACACCTGAATAGATCTAATGCCAGAGTTAGAGGATGCTCAAGGAGGGGGGAAAAAACAGATCACATTAAAAACATCATATATCACACAGCATGTCATATAAGGCTACTGATTAGGGAAGTTTTCTTCAAAGTTGGAGTGCATCTGCCTGAGAGACGAGAAAACAATAGTTTGCATACAAATAAGCCAGATCTGTAAAACAGATATGCACACAAAACTCAAGTTCTGAAACAAGATCAGAGTCCAGAAATGTACTTACAACCAGAACTGTCCACCAGAGTTTACAGATGGTTAACACTAAGACTTCAACTTTCCTGTTAAGGACGACAGGCTTGGTAGTGTACTGACAAGACACTTATCTGGCAGCCCAAATGTCTTGAGTTCAAATATACACTGACTAGATTTTGAAAACATATTGACCCTTCACACACAAGTCAACCAAGCCTAAACTAGGTGCCAGGAAATGGCCTGAGAAGTAAAAGTGGCCAGTGCGATCTTGACCACATTACCTATCAAGTGTTGATTGGACCATACAAATATGAGTCCAGCGTCGCATGCCTGATGTGTTACTAGCGTTAAAATGGTCCTTTCTTTACTTACCTACTTTACACACAGATGTGAGTCGTAGACTATCTCCCGGTCCTTTAAGAAAGAAAATAGGGGCTTTTGAGCTGAAATGTTATAGAAAGATTCTCAGAATACCATAGACAAAGAAGAGAAGAAATACTGATATTCTAAATGATCTGAACATCAAGGAAGATTGGCTAAAAAACATCATCTTGTCTCGGAAGCTGAAATATTTTTATCATATCAAGCACCATGGTGGACTGGAAAAAGAAATAGCAGAATGAACTGTACCAAGAAGGAGGGGCAGGGGCAGACCAGCATGAAGATGGGCACATGATATAAGTGACTCCTTGAATATGAAAGTACAAGAAGCGGGAGAGCTGGAAAGACACTGAGTTTCTTTTAGGCAGACCGTGATGAGAGCGACATTCTACAAAGGACCTGCTACTGAATCTATACTTGCTTTTTTAAAACAGTACCATAAATATATGGAGTAAATTGCTAACTGATACCTAAACTTTCAGGCCTTCTGGTGGAGATTTTTAGTCTAGCTGGAAGGAGCTGTCCGTACGTTAAGAGACAGTTGACAATTTGCCTTCCCAGCCTCCCACAGCCAATGATTCCAACAATCGGTAGATCTCTGTCCTCACTGTCACTGTCTGTTTCTGGTTTATTTTGATCCAAAAATGACAACAGAATCTTCCTAAAAATATACAAGAACATCAAAATAGCTGCTCTATTTTTTAATTTTATTTATGTCAATGATAATGCTATCAGCTTCTGATTTTCTAACAAAGCCACTAATCTCATATTTAAACTACCACTAACCCAGCTCAGGAAGCCACATTTATGTAGTAGCTAGATGCTCGACTGTCGGCCCAAACGTCACGGGTTTGAACCCATACCCAGACAAATCATTTTCTCAGAAATGACCTTGGCTTCCAGGTCAAGCCAGCCTAAAAGGGATATCAGATAAAGAACTGGGTAGTAAAGGTGGCCATCAAGATGGTAACCACATCACCCATGAAGGGTCGATTGGTCTTTTAAAAAAACAGGAGCGTAGCATCATATGTCTGATGCGCCAGTGGTGTGAAAAGGGTCCTTTACCTTTACTGTTACCTAAGCTCAGGGAAAAACATTTGCCTGGCACCTGGCTAACTGCCTGCTGAGACAATGACTCAGAAATATATAATTTTTTTCATCTACCAGTATTGCTCCGGGGTCGACCAGTCTTCTCTTCTTCTACCCTTTATTTCCCATTGGAGCATGAGTTACTCATTCCAAGTCTTTTAATCATTTGCTAGAGTGTGCACCCCATCTGTTTAACTTCACTCTCTAGTTTCCTTATTCATATGTCTGTCTGTTGGTCTTCCCTCCCTGATAACCACTTTTAATGTTAGGTTTAAACTTACAGCCGTGCGGATTGAAAAAAAAGGCGGGGGGGGGGGGGGGGTTTTAAGCCTACCACTACTTGGAAACAATCACGCTGCACTAACCAATTCTGTCACGGATTACAATTATAATTATAAATTATATTTAAATTTAAATATGCACCATTTAATTTTTTTTACACATACAGTAATGCACAATCATATTTTAATTATTTTTTTTAACTTGAACCTAGCCATTTTGAAGACGTCAACCACAACAGTGACTAAAGCACAGTGTGTGACTGTTAATGCATGATTTATTGGTCTCAGTATCATAAGTTTTTTCTCATCATCCGAGAGTGCACTCTCGAACTGAAGAGATGGTAAATTCTTTGTAATATCGATGAAACTCTCATCCTGTGTTTTAGTTAATCTGAAACGCGTCGCGAGCGCCATTTTGTTTCTACATAGAATCGTTCAAGGGAGGCTAGTATAATTGCAAATAAACCACTTCCGTTAATTTTCTCTCATCTGGATCATAGCTAGACGGGAAGAATCAGGTACACAATTTACTGTTTTTAATTTCCTTTTTTTTAACCTGTCTGTTTTAGTTAACAGTTTTATAAGTTCACGGAGTTTTAGAATAAATTTGACAGACTGAAGATTTTGCTTATATACATTGTTATTGTAGTCCCAGTCCTTTTGTGTGGAGTGTCCGGGAGTCCCAGAAATTTTCGCACTGATTCCTGATGATGATGATGCTCAAAATGAGAATCCAAATGTTAGTGTTAATAGTATAGTAGTAGGTAGATCTTTATAATGTACTGTTAATAGTGGCCAGTTTTTATCTAGATCTGATAATTAAAATTCAAATCCTTAGCACTTTCAGGCCCATGAGTTTGGACGGACTTTGCTCACAATAACGCAATAAAATAGCTAATGCGGCTATCCTCTGAATAACGGTCCCAAATTATTGAGGCCGAAAATATACCCTAACAGGGCCTCAGTCACCTGTGAATTACGGACTTCCGGCGATTACTGCCACCGCCGAGAGTATCTCCCACGCCGCTACGCGCAGCATGGAGCGGGGCTAAGCTAAATCAGATGGCTGGGACTCATTAGTAAATAAAATGAAGGAAGCTGCAGGAAATGCAGTAGCTGCTGCTCGTGAGTCCCAGTCATCTATTTTAGCCCCGCTAAAAGATACTCTCGGCTGTGGTGGTAGTCGCCGGAAGTCCACAATTTACATATGACTGAGGCCCTGTTAGGGTGTTTTTGTGGCCGCAATTTTTTGGAGGATAGCCATATACATATGTGAAGCTTAAACCGTGGGGGGGGGGGGGGGGGGGGAGAGGAAGCACATACCCACACTGACACACACACACACACAAATCCAGCACTGCTTTAGAAATGCAGTTCTACAGAATAACCCAGAAAATTCCTTGGGCAGTTGAAATGAGTTAACTAAAGAGGCTAAGACACAATGGCTTGAGAGAGAGAGAGGGAATGGCAGCAAATTTTTTTTTTTCATATCTTTCTTATTCTTTTCCTTTTCCCTGTTGGTGGTTTTGAGATAAGATAGCCACATGCCTGTGATGCGACACATTTTCTTCACTGATCCATATGGCTTGGTTTGCATTGGAACACCAACCGTGGCCAGATAATGATAAAATCACTGAAATGTGTGCCAGTGGAGAGATTTATTGTAGGAGATATCAAGAATACCAGTGAGAGAGGATTCTTGTTGGCCTTGTGTCAAGACAGGGAATGATGTCTGCTTAGGAACTTGATACTTGCTGTTAGAGATATGGGGAAGCTTGATCACCCATGTCAGTCAACAAGACATCGTTAATAACTTTAATGTGTCACATTTATTTTATATGAAAATGTGGAATTTTAATGCAAGACTTTTTTTTCCCTTTATGGTCATTATCACCAGGTACCTCGAACTGCATTGTGAGAAATCATGGCCCACTACAAAGGAGCAGCAAAAGAAGCTGGACGAGCAGCAAATCTCTTGAAGAAGAGAGCGAGAGAGCAGGAGGAAGCAGAAGCAAAAAAGAAAAAGATTGAAGAGGAACTAGCAATTGGGAGCATACACAACAAATTTGCTGCCCACTACGATGCTATTGAGCAGTCACTGAAGTCAAGCACTATAGGTAATGTTTCATAGCAGAAAATGTTTCTCTTTAAATGTTTAGTTAACTTTTCTTTGAATACACATGTGTTAATTAAATTATTCTTTTTAAAATGTTTAAATTGTTATATTTATGAAGAAAAAAAAAATACCTACTGAGATCTGCACATATTTAATTTAAACCACATAAGGTACCACGAATACTGGGGCAACAGACCACATCCTATAATATTCCAAATGAAATCTGCAGCTCACAGTGTCACACCGTGCACTCAGCTCAGTAGCTGGGTGATGAAACTTTATCCTTTCAGTCTACAAATGTAGAAAAACACATTGTCAGAAGCCAATAATTTACCATACTTCATATAGATTTCTACTTTTTCTTCTACCTTTCTAGCCCCCAATGGAGCATAGGCCCTCAACCAACTCACGTCAAGTCATTCTATCATATAGATTTATATATGTTTTAAATACATGCAGCTTAACAACAACATCATATAAGCCACTAACAGTGCTGGGATTAAATGTATATGTTTCTTTTGAGTGCAGGTTTGGTGACGTTGACGGAGATGAAGGCCAGGCAGGAAAATGTTATAATTGAACGAGAGCGGCAGCTAGCAAAGAAGAATGCAGAGGCTCGGCAAATAGAAAAAGCCAAGGAGGACAAGAAGAAAAAGGAGCAGAGAAAGGTGACAGATTGTTTGATTTTCAAATGGTTTTCTTAGACTTACTTCTCTTTCTCTCACCTCACTTGTCACATTAAAAACTCTGTCCCTTTTCGGTTAAGAAATATATATTGTATAGAATACTCTTCATCTTGTGATTCAAACATACTAAGGACTGAGATCTATGGAGAGACGTGAGTGTATGCCGCTGGGCAGGGCGCATGATGATTCTCTGTGATCCATCTGTTTTGATACTCAATCTGCCCCAGTACCTGCATGAATGTGGGGACATGTTTTGAAATTATATAGAGATAGCAAAGTTTTAAAGGAGGCAAAGTAGTTCACAGTAGTAGATCAAACTGCAGGGTGTGCATGTTTTTGTTATAAACAGCAAATAACTCTGTGTGTGTGTCTTATAGTGTATATAACCATTTAGTCTGCCATTTTGTACAGCAAATAGCTTTCTTCTGTATTATATGTTATTTTAACTCCTGAGACACAAACATGTATTACTTAAAGTAACAGCTGCTTAGAATGGAACAAGTTTTAAAAAATTAAAAAAAATTAATTGCTTTTCTTTTGCCTGTTTGTCTATTGCTTGCAGATAACTATGTTGTCATTTGACGTAGAGGAAGATGAAGACAACAGTGATGATAATGACACCAAAGATAACACCAATGACAGTGGAGGCAGACCTGATCATGACACAGATGATGACCATGAAGATGCTGGAGCCTCTCCTTCAGAAGATGCAGATGATACAGTGAATGCAGCAAATGAGAGGAGAAAAAAGAGACTGGGTAATTCTAGCGAATACGATCATTCAAGTGACCCACTTAAAAACTAAAGTAGAGATCGCTTAGTTACAAGATGGCGTCGGTGGTCCACGAAAAATGGCTTCTTTGCCTATCAGTTACTTTGAAATCCTGTCGCTCAATACTGGCTGCTCAGAATCGAATACGTGGGCTCAAAGTTATTCAGAAGAGGATGCTCAACCAAACGACACCTAACTTGCATAGCGATCTTTGTTCAGCCAAATAAATTTCACTATTTGCCCTGCGGGAATTAAATTTCTTTAATATCTCCTTTTTAAAGTGAATTTATATACTTTTAGTTGACATTTTTGGATTCTGTGTCCATTTTTACATAAATATGGGTAGTTTTGCTGGAATCTGTACATCATAGAATATAAAATTTAAATTTCTTCCCGGTCACTTCTTGACAGCTAAATCGGCAATTTCTCAAAATGGCTACCTCGTGGCCTAAACGAACTGTTTATCTCAGATTAATTAATCTAGGTTTTTATTAAAACAGTTAAAAAATAAGGCAATTTTTATCGTATTTATAATTTACCTTTCTTTAACTTTTAATTTCACATGAGTTTTAATAATTTTAAATACTTGAAAATAATGTTTTAGCACGTTTTTAACATAGACTATTTTCTAGGGTATTTTGCGTTGAAAATGGACACAGACATTGGTTTGAACATTTTTAAATATACTTTAAAATCACATTATTGTAGTTTTTAAATCATTTTGGGAATCTTTAGCCATTATAGCATTTTTTAAGCCATAACCTATCATTTGGCATGAATAATAGTTCCTGTTTAAAGCCTTTTTACCTGTTGACCCCCCACTCTCCGCACCCAGACTGACATTGTGGACACAGATATTGGTTTGAACATTTTTAAATATACTTTAAAATCACATTATTGTAGTTTTTAAATCATTTTGGGAATCTTTAGCCATTATAGCATTTTTTAAGCCATAACCTATCATTTGGCATGAATAATAGTTCCTGTTTAAAGCCTTTTTACCTGTTGACCCCCCACTCTCCGCACCCAGACTGACATTGTGGACACAGACATTGGTTTGAACATTTTTAAATATACTTTAAAATCACATTATTGTAGTTTTTAAATCATTTTGGGAATCTTTAGCCATTATAGCATTTTTTAAGCCATAATCTATCATTTGGCATGAATAATATTAGTTTTAAAATTATACTATTAGTATTGACTTATAGATGCTTATTTAGAAAGTTGACGATTAATAAAATTAATAATAAATTATAATTTGTTTAACTGTGCATAAGTTTACTTACTTACAGCCAAGGCTAGTTACAACTTATGATTATTAATATTTAATAATTATTTTCTAAATATACTAATATATACTAGCTAGCAAACAGATCACATGGGACATAGATACGTTAATAAAATATATATAATGTTCTTTTTCCTCTTACCTTATGAAATGCTGCTCCATGAAAACACAACATAAATCCAAAGCGAATCACAAAGGAGCTTATTAAATAATTTTACTCCATGAAAACATAGCACTGAATCACAAATGAGGTATGAGCAGTTACCTTAGATTATTTTGAACTAGTAAATAAAATATCCAGCAGTGTTAGTTAAGAAGAAGAGGGAAACACTGTGGTAAAATGCGCTCATCATCAATAAAATTAAAGAATAACTCGCAAAGACTGAAGAAGGGATTATGTTAAATCAGTAAAAAGGGTGCATATTTTCACTTGGTTATCAAACAATATTGGGGGTCTCTGTAGAAAAGTGGTCAAGCCATTAACCTCGTGCTCGGAAGGTTGCGGTGAGTTTATTTTACAACTGCTTTGTTCGTCTCAAAAATACATTTTGTTTGGGTTAACAGGGACCCCTGGAGGCTGTTGCTGGAGCTACGGTATTCAGGCTTACTGCTAAGGTCTCGGCATGCGGCTAGTCGTTCATGGTTATGTGGAGAAAGACCAAGCCATATGAAACCAGTAACGATGCAGTGAAGTCAATCCACTCGCTATTGAACATTTTTTAACAGTGGAATAGAGCAAATTTCGGTCAGATGTATACACACTACACACACACACACAATTGAGAGTGCAAGAAAAAGCATTTTTAAACAAATAGGAAGAGATGCATCATAACAAGAAGAATAGTTACAAAAGTATGCATATTACAGTATATGTCTTGGAAGACTCACTGGATAATAATCATTAATTTAATTCATAAATAAGGTTATCAATCCTGATAAACAAACTCATTTTTATGTTATTTAGGTTTGCATCACATCATTTTTTTTTAAAGGCAACAACTTTAGTCAGAGCCTGCTGTTCTGAAAGCAATGACATATGGTTGCTAAGGGGTTCAGCAAAAAACTTGAGAGTTATTGACATTAAACATGATAAATTTAGGTCCAGTTTTCACTTGGGAACACGCCGCCATCTTGTTTCTGTGTTTTCCATTATAAATTTTTGGGGCAACTTTCCGTCACTGAAATGTGAATATCTCCGCTTAGAATTGACATACAGACTTCATTGAGGTACCGTTGGACTCGGGTTTTCAACCTATATTCAGCTAATTTCACCTAATTTTTACATTTTGACTAAAATCCCTAGTAATTCTTTTACTTTGCATGTCATTTTTATCCTAGGAAGAGGAAATGCAACCTGAAAACCCAGTGTTATGGCAGTGCAATCAAGGCCTTTAGCTTTGGTTGGCAGCTGGTCTAGGAGGGAAGCTCTGACAGGCGGACTGAGCAATGCTGTAGTTATCCAACAGCTTCTGCTGCATGCTTTGTTCTAAATTTTCAATGTTTAATTAAGAATCGACATCACAGCACTTGGGAAATTCTCATAAATTCTCCGTCCCCATCTTCAGCAGCAAGCGTACAGTTCCAGTACTGATGGTACCTGTGAAAGTGAATACAAATGTATTGGTAAAACCATTCCTTTGGATTAAGCAAGCTAATTTGAGAGAAGGATCATGCTGGAATGGTTTCTACAATACAGCCCAGGCTTTGTGATATGGAGAGGAAGAACATCATTATGGACTGTGATTTCCCTGTCTCTCTGTAGTATAGAGAAACACTGTCATCTGGAAAATTGGAAAGATGACAACCATTTCTCATCTTCATCATTTGCCCTGCTAAATGTAGGCAGTTGTAACCTAACGATTATTGTCTCAGATCTGGTCCGCGTTTTTTGCCAATTACTATATATGATAATGAAAACGTTCAACCCCACCAGGACATCACACAGAGTGACACAAAGTGCTACCATTCGGAGGAAGATCACCCAGGGACAAGTCCCAGAAATCCCGTTCAGCCTATAGGTTGGGTTATATTAGGGCTCCTGGCTACAGCCAGGGTGGGGTTTTAAAACAACAACATAATTGCGTCCGACAGTGGGACGCACAGCATTTATTATTATGTGTTGTCAAGTCGTTTAGGTATTTATCCCTGTCCTTCACCTGTATTTATCCCCCCCCCCCCCCTCTTTTTCACGCTTAAAATTTACCCGTTGCCACTATATTTTCAAGCGTTTCCCATCATAATTGTTTTAACACAAATTGTACTGATTCACTTGTGTAAGCATTTCTCCATTTTAGAATGTTGCATTAGGATATTTCTGCCTGCCTGTAACCAGCTGAGCAAAATATGAGACACACGTATTTCAACCACTAAATAGATATTCACATATTATATCTTTTTAAAAAGCTGCATTCTCTTTACAACCCACTTGAAAGATTCTTGTTCCTCACCAGTTCTGCTTCATCCATAGTTATAGTTGAATAGGGCTTTTTTCCCTAGAAAAATGATGCTGGTATCACAACAAAGCGTCTTTGAAAACCAAGATGCCAGTGGTACTCACTGCAAAGTGTCTGTTACAGTAGTACTGAAAACTGATGCTTAAAAAGGTGTCATTACTGCCTTGGTAGATGAAAATCAAAAACAAAAATATGTAATCTGTACTTCAGATTTAATTAAACATTCATTACTTTCATTTATGTCACATTTTCTACATGCACTTGCAGGTATGAACCCTGAAGTTGACACCAGCTTTCTGCCAGATAGGGACAGAGATGAAGAGGAAAACAAACTAAGGTAAGTTCAAGTGGTCTCCTTTACTCTCTTTGCCTTTATCAGTGGCTGGCCGAGCGGTTGTGAATGCTGAAGACCCAGGTTAAATCCTTGATAAGGTGTTGGATTTCTGCAAAAGTAAACTTCTAGCCAGTGCAGTCTGTGTTGACAACACTAGTCTTGCAGCCCTAAATCCTCAGGTAGAATACCCCACTGTCCTACACTGCAGTAAAGAATGGTAATTACAGACAGTAAAGACAGAAAGGAAGGAAAGATCCCTGATTCAAACATATGCCCTGCCCAGCTTGCTAGCTCAGTTAGTTAAACCTGACTGCGCTGCAACCGGGTGACAAACTCCTTGTTGTCCAGGTTTACGCCTGGGGGTAGGCAGAAAAGCTACATTTCTCCCAGATTTACTATATCTAACATGGAATCAAGGCCGAAGGGTTGCAATATCCACAGTACCGAGCCAACTAGTTTACAATTCATGGTTTATGGATATTTAAAAAAAACAAAAAACATAGGCCTTCTGCCAGCTTATACCATATAACCGTGTCTTTTGTTATCTCCTGCAGCTTCTTTCATGTCTTTTCCATATTTATAATCTCTCTTATTCTTTTTTTCCATTTTATTTCTTCTACAAGCCCTTCTCATTTCATGCACAGTTCTAACATCCCAGGTAACAGCTCTGGAAGTGTTCTTAGACGAATGGTGGTGGGTTGGCAGTGCAGACTCTTTTTGACTTTCTCTACATCAATCTATACTCCTTTCACAGAAAGAACCACCCCTTATCTTCATTTACTGAATAATTCTTGGTTTTTTTTTTTTAAGCTTTTATTTAGGTCACTTTTGTTTGTTTGGTCAAAAGCTTGCATTCTTCTTCTTCGAATGTGTATGTGTGCTTGCATGTGTGTGTATATCTGTGTCTGTTTGTGAGTGTGTGTCTTCGTGTGTGTGTGTGTTTCTCTCTGTGTGTATCTACGTATGTATGTGTGTCTGTCTGCATGTGTTTATGTGTGTCTGTGTTTGTATCTGTGGGTGTGTCTGTTTGTGCGTGTGTCTGTAAATGTCTGTCTGTGTCTGTGGATGTGTCTCTGTGTGCCTGTGTATATATGCATATGTGTGTATGTATGCGGGTGTGTGTATATATGCATATGTGTGTAAATAAGTGTGTGTGTGCGCTCACGCACAAGTGTGTGCATGCATTCTACCATCAGTGCTATAGTGTTTTTTCTTGATATTCATAAAATGCATATTATTGTATGAATATAACATGATATTATTTATTGATAAAATACAACTGCTGTGTGAAAGATGGGCGTTTGGAAAGGCCGAATGTAAGACTGGCCCCATTTTGTGACCCTTTGAAAATAAAGTTTGTTCGTTCGTTCATTTGATCCTTCTTCGATCCTTTTGTCACAAAACTTATATCAGAAGGCCGGTAGCATACAGTTGACAGTATTGAAGCACATGCTCATCATTTTCTGGTGCCACACTACAGGGACACATCACCGTGTTTCCTACATCGACAAGTTTGAACATATGTTATACCCTGTCCTTAGTCTGAATGTAATATATTGTCCAGTTTGCATTCAATTTTTACACTAATTCCTGACGAGCTGTGGAGCTAACATTTTGTGATCTTCCTGCTGTATTCTGTAGGGAGCAACTGCGTCAAGAATGGGTGACCACACAAGAAAGAATTAAAAATGAGGAGATAACTATTACCTACAGTTACTGGGATGGCTCCGGACATAGAAGACAGGTATGAAGGTGAAATAGTTTGCAACAGTTATTTAAGTTAGCACGGGCATTCAGGGGGAGAAAGGGGGGGGGGGGGGGGGGGTTTCTTGTGAGATATACCTTTTCTTAATTTAAAAAAATAAACCTTTCCCCGAGTGGCACATTGAGCATATGATGCTAAATTCATATTTGTATAGAACAGTCAGCACTTATTTGGTGATGTGATCTACACCATACCACTGGCGTCTCATTCTTCTGCATTCTTGGTGTCCATTCTAGACTGTATTAACCTAGGAGCCAAAGTCAGTTTTATTAAACATCCATGAGATATAATTTCAGTTGTTGTTTTAAATGTTTTGGTATGTATATACACACATGTATATATGTGTGTGTTGGTTGGAAAATTTGAGTTACAGTAGCATATTTATTGATTAGTTAGGTCAACATATCATCAACACTGCACATTTAACCATATCAGGTTACAGGTTCTTAGATCCCCACCTTAGTATATCTCTCAGCATGTATCGATTGATGACACCAGTTGTCCTTGTTTACTATTCTTCTTTGCTGTCTGCATAGCAATCTTGTTAAGAGGCACAGTATATGTATCTGTTGATGTAAGTGTGGGTGGACTGATTAATGGGTGTATATGTATGAATGCCTGGGTATATGTGTGTTTGTGTATGAATATGTGTGTGTCTGGATATTAGTGTGTCTGAATATTAATGTGTCTGTATGTGTGTATGAATGTGTATGAGTGTCTGGGTATTTATGTGTCTGTTTGTGTGTGTATTTATTCCTTTTTGTATCATCATGACTTTGTGCATATATATGTCTCCCTGTATATATGTCTGTATGTGTGTTTGTGTATATATATCTATGGCTGTGTGTATGTTTGAGTAAAGGTATGCATACAAGGCAGTTGCTAATAAGTTACAGACATTCATTAACTGGTGCCTGCGCAGAGTAGAGTGAATTAAATGGTATGATAGAATAACTAATGTAGAGCTTTGGGAGAGAACTAAACAGGCTTCATTGGACCAAGAGGTGAGGAGAAGATGCTGGCGTTGGATAGGACACACACTGAGAAAACAGGAGAACAGCATAACTAGAATGTCTTTGCATTGGAACCCACGGGGGCATAGGAATAAAGGAAGGCCCCCAAAAAAAATGGAGAAGAGAGCTGGAGAATGAAGTTAGAAAAATGGGGAGGACACGGGATGAGCTCCATGTAATGGCGAAGGATAGAACGACTTGGCGTAAGTTGGTTTAGGGCCTATGCTCCATTGGGGGATAGAAAGGCAGAAGAAGCACCCGAAATCACCGCTCTCTTCAGACCACCGGGGTATTTGACATGTCCAAAATACCTCAGCTTTCGGGAGAGGATGACTAATGAGTGTTTACAGTTTCTAGGGCTATATAATGTAGTAGTCTTCACTTGATTTCCACATCTAAATGGCTGATTAGTGTTAAAAAAACCATATAAATACTTTGTTTACTATTAAGTGATGATAGATAAGCAATGATAGAAACACTGTGTTAATGTTAAATAATTGTAGAAGCACTTACTATTTACTTTCAGGTAATAGTACAAACACTTATTGGTTAATTTTCTTACTTTACAGTAATGGTAGAAACACTTTTTGTAACTTAAATAGTAATCAAAACACTTTTACACTTGTGTCACTTAATGGTAGTAGTATTTTTATAAGTCACAAATGATCTTTCTTACAAATGAGTAATTGTTACTGAGAAAGAAAAAGATTTTGAAAATAGTTTATGTTTAAATATTTCTTTTTTTTTTCTCTTCTTTCCCTCACAACTACAAAGGTCAATATGAAGAAAGGCAACACAGTACAACAGTTCTTGCAGAAGTGCTTGGAGAGTTTACGCAAAGAATTCAATGACCTTCGACCTATCTCTGTTGACCAGCTGATGTACGTCAAAGAGGATTTGATTATCCCACATCACTATTCCTTCTATGACTTCATAGTTACCAAAGCTCGGGGTAAGAGTGGTCCTCTATTCAACTTTGATGCCCACGACGATGTCAGGATCATCAACGACGCAAAAGTGGAGAAAAGTGAATCTCATGCGGGGAAAGTTTGCTTGAGGAGCTGGTATGAGAGAAACAAACATATTTTCCCTGCCAGTCGGTGGGAGCCGTACGATCCAGAGAAGAGTTGGGATAATTATACCATATCTGACAAGAATGCAGTTAAAATCACTGTCAAATAATTGTACGGAGAGTTTTGCTGTCTGTTGGACTTTATATTTACTATTTGGGTACCAGAAAAAAAAACATACGTCAATTTGCCATTAATTTAACTTTCCTCAGGAACCGAAAGAGTTAAGGAAATAAATAATGTATATACATGTAAAGAAATATGGTTTTTTGAGAAAAATACAATAAATGAACAGAAAAACAGAGGGTATCTTTCAAGAAATAGATAAAAACTGTAAACGAATTACAGATATTAGATGTTGGCAGTTGAGATTATTTTGGACATGTTACAAGCAGAAAATAAAAGTTGTTCATTTGAAAGATTGTCTTCATCACACCTGACTATAAGAAAATAAACTTGAAAACTTAGTGGCCACTGAGAAACTTGAAAGAAAACAAGAATTGAGAAGAAACAAGAGATAAACAACTGGATGTCATGGGTAGGACAAAAACATAGACCTTATCTGTGATTCTGGTGAACATGTGAGGTGGTAAATCATATTGTCTATGCCTGTGGTGATAACTGTAAATAAAAACTTTTTCATTTTGAATTGTTTATCAAAGAACAGTCTTATCTTGTTCCTCTTATGATAATGATGGCAACTCACTGCAATATCGGGGATGTCGAACTGGTCATGCATGTTGGTACACTTGTTCCTACAGCGAGGTGCTGTTATCATTTGCAGGCAACTAGTTCATTTCACAGTATGGCAACAATAGCTTTTAATGTTTGTTTTGTCTAATGCGTCCTCCTCCCTGGCTACTTCTTTCTTTAAATGCCATCAATTTATGTCGATTTGGCATCTTTATAATAGCAATAATATGGTTGTTTAGGATGAATCACAAATGACAAATATTTTTGAAGAAGAATCATCAAATGTTGAGTTAGGAATCTACATAATAGCACTCAGGACACTGCCATAAGTGCTTCATCTTCAGCAGCAGGTGAAGAGTTTCAATTCTGGTGACATCAGTAACAGTTTGATTGTGTATCCTGCTCCCTCTTCCCTTGAGTGTTGAACGTCGGCCACATCACCTGGTGGAACTCCTCGCAGCACCATTCTTCTCAGGCTGTAATGATCTGTCTGTGCCTCCACACTGTTCACTAACTCCAAAAGGGCCCTGATCACATCTAGCTAGTCATACATCAATTCACCACCAGGTGGTGCAGAATCATCAAGTAACTTCAATAAGTGTTGTGTGTTCTGTTAAGAGTTTGTCAAAGAGTACAACATTTTTTGAAGAAAAACTACCGGTCAGATAACCATATGATAACTTAAGCTTTCAATTTTGATGTTATCTAGTGTGTCTGTTGTGCCCAGAGTGGTTTTATGTTGTAAACTGCACTAAAACTGGCAGGCCGCCAGTTCCATTTGGAATGGCATGTACTTATTTACAATTGTGTGGGCAGTTGCTGGCTTTCATGATTAACTGCTTGCGTAAGTAGTGTGCTGCAGTTTTGGTGGGAGACTGTTAGTGTTTGTACCTCTAAACAGTGCATCAACACGTAATACAAACCGTTCCCTTGTGGGGTGCAATTTTTAGTTATTTTGAAACCCCACCCTGTTTGTTGCCGGGGGCCCTAATATAACCTAACGCTTGAACGGGATTTCCGGGACCTCTCCACGGGTGATCCTCATCCGCATGATGGCACTTTGCGTCACTGGATGTTTATCGCACTGTGTGATGTCCTGATGGGGTAAAATGTACTTACTTACCTTGTGCATTTACATTTCTTGTATCAGTATGTCTTTCACTAGTTTTTGCAGATGGGACAGTAAAGGACATTTCATCTGATTCCCACTGGTAAAGAAACAGAGTAGTTGGTGACCCATATGCATTGAAGTTGGAACGCCAACTAACGACTGAGTGTGTCCTACATTATCTAAATAGTAAAGTCTAGAAAATCATAGTGGGCAGTGTGGTAGTGTATTCTCTATCAGACGAGAAGTAACACATCTTCTTTTCTCCATTAACTTTTGTATTACCTGCTTAGCACTTCTCTCAGAGTAACCTGTTTTATTCTGTGCTTTGGAGGCCAGTGAATGAGTTTAACAATGTCATGATCCTCAGTGCACTAGGATTTTATTTCCATGTTGGGTGATTCATTCTAAAAACCATTCTTACGGTATTCAGGCATGTTACAAGAGTCACACCATGGCAGATATTGCTGCTTCACCACATAAATTCTGAAAGACAGCCGTCTGTTACACTACAGCCAAGCTTTATTGTGGAGACGTCATACAACGTCAGTGAAATATGAAACCATGCAAATATGTGTTGGATGAAAATTGAAGGCAGCCAAGAGATAGTTGCTGGTCATGGTCTCAAGCTCTCCATTGGTGGACACAGTATCGCACCCATGTGGCAATGACTAAAGTCACCTGACCATTATGGTCAGTGCCAAGAAAAAAGCAGTGGCAAACAACCTTCTTCAAAGATAAATGATTCTACACCTAATGCAACTTCAAAAGTAGCTAATTATCTGGAGGGTTTGGCTACATGGTCGGGCACAGATGTGTAATCCATGAGATTTTGGTGATCACAAGTGATGGCAAACCATGACCGCCAATGTTTATCAGCATGGCGCATGATGGTTATGATGGTGTGTGTGTCTTCCTGTTTCTCTTTTTCTCTGCTTTGTTGAATGCTGATCATTATTCATCATGTTTTCTCAGTGGCCCAATAATTATTTCTGTATTATATGCTTTAGTGTTATAGTTGGAGTCTTTGGCTTAGGCTCTGCAAATGTGGTTTGTAATTCTGAAATACCTAGTTAGATTCAGCTATGGTCACTTTGGCAGCAGATCACTTTGCATTGATTTCGACTATGGTGTCGAGAGCCGCCTTATTTTTATGATGATTTTTATGTTGAATAAATATGTCACTCAAAGTATGTCTTCTGTATTTTACTTTATCAGCCGTCTGTATTGTGTTGTAAAATATTTAAATTACATTACCCCCGTGTGGGTTCCGGGGCCCCATTGTGGGGAAAACAAGAATAGACCCGCTGCCTCCCCAAAAGCATGTCGTAAGAATCGACTAATTGGGGAGCTTCCTTTGTTGAAGTCGGAGTGCATCTGCCAGAGAGGCAAGGAACCAACAGTCTGTATTCAAGAGAATTAGATCTGTAAAACTGATGCACACTCGGGTTCTGGAGCAGGACTGCATTTTGGTAGTGGACGAGCAACCAGAACCTTCCGCCAGAGTTTACAGCTGGTGAACGCGAAGAAGAAGAAGAAGAAATTACATTAAAACAATCCACATTCTGTGTGCATGTAATAAGAATAGAAAAAAGACAGAGGGAAATCAAGAGAGATGTTGGAAGCTTTGGCATCATGGTGTGGAGGAAAGGATTAGCAATACACAAGATAGAAATCTGTGGGTAGACATAATTACAAATGCTGCATGACTAAAATCAAAATGTTGAATTAAAAATCGACATCACAGCATAAGCAACACCCCCATCTTCAGCAGCAAGCGAAGAGTTAAAATTCCGATGTAGCAGTAACTGATTGTGTATAAGAGCTATAAACAAAGAGGCTTGGTTAAACAGATGGGCCATGGGAGACACTGGAAGAGAGGTTTATAGACATATGGCTGGCCCTAATCCTAATGACAGCATTAACCATCTAACAATAAGGGACCAGGCCACAATCTTCAGACTTAGAACACAACATACTCCACTCAGTGGACATCTAAACAGAATACAGCCACAACACTCCCCAGAGTGCCAGCTATGTAACTACCCCTACAAAACTGTTGACCACCATTTCTTTGAGTGCCCAAACCTCAGCGAGACTAGAAGAATGCTACTCCCTCCGAGACCAGACAAGTGGAACACCTTGTACGAAGGAAAAGAACAGCTTGTGAAAACATGTAAACATGCCGCTGGATCAATAACAACAACAACAACAACAGTTTCCTCCGCTACGACAGACTTAGGCAACAGCAACTATTGTGTTAATAAGAGTTATTTCAGTCCATCACAGTGTATGCAGAAACGGGTGTAAAGTAACCACTATTTGTATTCGGCCTGACCGCAAGTATTCGGCCAAATACTGAATAGTTAATAGGTCCACTATTCGGCCCCGAAGCGAATGTTTGGTACAGCCCTAGTTTCGACACTCAAGAATATCCCAACTTTATCATGTGCCCTATCAGTGAGCACAATCAGGCATGTTTCAGTATCCCACATGATTTAAAGACCGTGAGTTGGATACCCAAACTCACATAACCCAAATCCCATGCTCACACTGTGCAAGACCTTTCTGTGCCAGAATTGGCCTTATCAGCCATCTGCGCATTTATAAACTTGCGTTTACCTAGCAGATGAAAGGACACAATCACAAAATGTATATCTCGTCTTACTACGTGGTTAGGCCATCCAGGTACTGTATGTGTATCTTTGCCTATCCCTTGTTATTTTCCATCAATTTTGCTAGTCATCACCAAATTGAGTCCATTCCTCCTCATAAAATGTCCAGGAATACTGACTACCTAAGTCTGATTTGATTAACTGGTTTGTTTTCATCTGTTTTGAGGACTTTCTTTTGTTTTTTTTGAACATTTCATGGTTTTCTTTGCGTCATTCTCAAAAACATGTCTGCTGCCAGTAGGTGCTTTTCAACTTGTCTGCTTATTTCCAGGCCTCTTAGGCATAGTACAACACAGACTCTTCATAACATTATGCAGTGATACTGTTCTTAGTTTCTGATTAGATAAACAGCAACTCTGTTTGCTTCTCTGTTCAGGTGTTAAAGTTAGGAACACAGATTTTAACGACAGCACTTTGATGGAATGTTTTTTATTGCTGTTCTAACAATTATCACGTCCAGTCGTTTTAAGTTCTTACTTGTCGTTTATAGAACAGCTACAAGCTACTGCTATACCAAGACTACAGCTTGAATTCAGATGTAGTTACCTTTCATTCTATGCATTCCATTTACAATGATAGCACGCCTCTCAGAGAGTGCCACAATTCTTCGCAGTTGCTTAAACTTTTAATTCAGGA